CCTGTATTGGGCATCTTCTGTGGCTTTGGCACGGGTGTTAGGAGGGACTGGATCAGAGGCAGAGCAGCTGCGACTGGCACCGGCATTCCCATACAGGACGCCCGCCGTCCCAGTGTTTCTCTCCCCGTCCTCACACGTAGACTCCACAGTGTCCAGTGAGTCTCAATGAACAGGACTGAAAACCACAGAGTTAGTAAGTTGTTGTAGTTTCTGTTGTCATTAGACGTTTTGTTGTTTGTTTGGCTAACAAAACTATGAGTGAAAGTGCTAATAACAAAACGGAGAGCTGGCCAAGAGACTGAGGTTGGGGACTCAGTGCAGTGGCCCAGTGGCTAAATCCTTGCCTTGCACATGTGGGGATACCACATGGGGACCAGTTTACGTCCTGGCTGCTCAATTTCCTATCCAGCTCCCTGCCTGTGGCCTGGGAAAGCAGTAGAGGATGGCCCAAAGCCTTGGGACAATTCACCGGTGGCTTTAGATCAGCCCAGCTCTAACCATGTGGCCAGCTGGGGAGTGAACCAGCAGGTGGAAAATCTTTGTCTCAGTATCTCCTTCTCTCTGTACCATGTGCCTTTCCAATAAAAATGAATAAATCTTAAAAAAACAAAAAGCCTGTGAGGTTGGAGCCAGTGTGGTGGTGTAGCTGGCTAATCCTCAGCCTCATGGCCCTGGAATTCCATATGGGCACTGGTTCGTGTCCCGGCTGCTCTACTTTGAATTCAGCTGTTTGTGGCCTGGAAAACCAGTGGAATGCGGCCCAAGACCGCGAGACCCTGTACCCACACCGGGATCTTGGAGGATGTTCCTGTTGCAGCCATTTGAGGAGTGAACCAGTGGATGGAAGACCTTCTCTCTGTAAAGTCTGCCTTTCAAATAAAAATGAGCAAATATTTAAGAAATAAAGCCATGAGGTCACAAGATAGCATTAACAGTTTTTCTTTTCGATGTTTCAGATCCAAGAAGTCTTAAAGCAGATACTAGGTCATGAGCAGTTCAGCCTGAAATGGGTTGGCTTCGAGGTGAACAAAAGATAGCGCCATTCCAGGAACCCACCGTGCTGCCTACACCATTTTCTTTGGACTTGGAGTGAATTCTAGTTTTCATGTTTTAGTGATTTTTATTTATTTGCCAGGGAGATGGGGAGGGAGTGAATTCCCCTCTGCTGGTTCATTCCCCAATACCTGGGAGCCAAGAGCCCAGGGCAGGGGCACTTTCTGCCTTCAGGCTGCCCCCCGGGGACACGCCTCAGCAGGGGCTGGCCTCTGCAGGGAGGGCAGGACACCCCAGGGATGGCTTGGCTTCTGCACCTGCCTACATTTCAGCTGTGAAGTTCTAAGAGGAACAGAAATAACTTAAGACATGCCAGAGACATGGACCTTCAATCAGGAGAAAAGCAGAATCCACGTGACGACTGCGCACCTGCGAGAAGGAAACAGGCAAGACGGCACGTTTGCGGAAAATATCTTAATAATGTTCGACACACAAGATCAAAACGCCTGAACCAAACAGCAAAAATCTTGGAAAAAAACCCAAACAACCCCATTAATCCTTCTGGGGAATGCGGGGAGGGCCACGGTGGTCTAGATGGCGAAGCCAAGTGCAACAAGCTTTCCAACAGGCCGAGGGGAGGCTTTGTCGGCCAGGCGGGAGCTGTGGGGGGTGGGCTTCCAGGGGTCCAGCAGGAGGAGCTCTCTGGGGCGGTGCTTTGTCCCACAACTGCTTAAGCTGGAGAATTCCGAGTGAGCCACGGGGCTCCTAGCGTGAACATGGCTCTTTGCAGTGAGGCCCCTGCACACATTCTTGTTTCGCTCAGGTGTCCCTAGCACCTGGATGCATGCTGAAAGGAAGACGGTCATATGTCAAGCACGGCGGCAACGGGAGCCTGAAATGTTTAAAGTTAAAGTTTATTTTGTAGTCTTTGTAGGAATATCAGTAAAAGACCTCAAACGTATCTATATCTGTACATGTACAAGAACCGTCAAAAATTATTCACAGAACAAAAATAAATCTTCTTTAGAACAAACCCAGGTAATGAAATGCAGGTATGGATCTCACATGTGGAACAATTGAAATGCTACTAGCACAAAAATATGGCTTTAAAAATAAAATCAAATCTCGGGTTTTGTTTTCTAAGGTGTATCTCTCTCTTGAAATAAAAAATAAATTATTTAGAGCTATCATTGTAAAATAGTCATGTGTATTAACACACTCTTATTAAGGCCCTGGGGATGAAAAACAAATGCAACCTGGACTGAGACCTGCCTCTGCTCCAGCTGACTTTCAACAGACAGGAAATGTGGAAGCACCAGTCAAAACTTCACTTCTACTGTTAACTGAACCCTTGCCTCAGGATAATGGTCACTGAGTCAATTACCATTTCATCTGTTGGTGAACTGGGACTTGCACTTTTTTTTCCCTTGGTCGTTTGAACATCACATAAAGATGATACTTGTACACAAATATTTGCACCCTCACACGGATGATGGAAGCCCCTCAAAACACAGCTTCTGTGGGGATGCCTGTACCAACAGAATAAGTCTGGTTTTAAGCCCCAAACTAAGATTACCTAAAGTACAAATGAGGGCACTTGAATGAAAAAATGACTGGGTGGGAAGCTACAAGGCATGCTGAAACATGGGCCGACACGACCTTCCTTGGGTGGCTTGTGCATTTGCCAGATCTTGCTCAGCTGGTTGAGCAACACCTGAGGACCGACTGCGACTGCTCGGAGCCAGAGCGGCTTCTTTTCTCATCTTACTCGCAGGCCACTGAAACTCAGGTTTCCTTCTGTGACTCCCCATGGTATCAATACAGATACCTAGGGCTTCTGAGACCAATTCACACCAACCAATTCAGTTACTTTAACTTATATATACATATAACACATATGGTACACTGTAAAGAGGAGACTGAGTGTTGCAACACCTAACGAACGGATGCATAAAATATAGATAAAAAAGGAAAGTTTGGGAACCGCTTTTCTATAAACAGGATCGACATTGAGAAAAGAGAAGCCCAAGGGATTGGCTCTTTTGTATGAGGATGCACAGGACTGCAAAACCCAATCCTCCACAGCCCTATGTATTTAAGGGTGTTGCAAGGGATACCAACACCCACCCCCAGCCTTCAACTTCCAGGCTGCAGGCAGACCCTGAGGCCTTTGCTCTCCCTGTTGGGGTCCTCTCTTCGACTCTTCTCGAGAGCATTCATAACTAGATCCTGACAAGCAACAAGAGAATGCTTCTAGAAACAGAAATAATCATTCAAACATTCAAGATAAAAGGATTTTATGCAAAAAATAAACACCCCAATGATTCTTGCTCTTAAGAAACTGGTAAGTCCTTTCAACTGACATATGTAAATTTTTGACTGCGGGGGCGGGGGGAGGGGAAGGCAACAGTTGCTGGGGCAAGCAAAGAGTTTCATTATTTGACATGAAAAAGCAACAAAGACTAGAGAAGAAAGCCCCCAGAGGTATGGCTGCAAAGGCAGGGGCCATGTGGGAGGGCCCTGGAGCCGCTGGGCTGGCTGGGGTCCAGCCTGTCCCAACCGGGTGGACAGACCAGCCTGAGAGGTGCAGTCCCAAAACCAGCTTGATCACACACTGGAACTGGAGGTGACCACAACACAACCAAACAACTCCAAACGCAAATTCACTTGCTCGCAGCTGTTACGCTGTGGGACTTTGCAAATAGCACTCTGCTCCCGAATCCAGTGCCCTTCTGAGTGCAGAGTGACACCCAGGGATTCAGGGAGCTGCAGCTCCATCGACAAAGGCCACAGGAAAACCAACGCCTAAAGTCAACCTCATTGCTAAGGGTTAAACGCTTCTAATTATTCTTCGACAGGAAATCTTTCTCTCACTACCCAACACCAGCACAGAGAAAGGAAGATCAATCAGAAAAAGCTCATTCTAAGTTGAAACTAAATGAACAACTATAGCAGCATGACAAACTCACTTTAGCACATTGTCCAAATCAACAGCTTTCCCTGGCCCCTTAGAGCAGCTCGGTGTTACGGCCTGAACACAGCATGTGCGCATGCCGTGACGGTTACCCAGTCCAGCACGCCCGGGACACAGGATGTGCGCTCCAGGGCTGGTAGTAACAGTTCCCCAGTCAGCACCTGCCTTGGGCTTTATTGCTGAGGCGCAGGGCGCAGGGTGGCCTGATGGCAACGGAACGCTTTCTGCTGCTTCAGCTCCGAAAGCTTATTGCTGGGGGATGGAAAGAGGATGAGGGCGCTCTGCCCCTGAATCCTACAAATTACTGTCACTGCTGATGGCCATGTCTGGCTGGCACAAGCACTTTGACAAGCACTTCACCTTACTTTCAGATCCTATCCAACCCTGTTCTAACACTTCGCCCCATAGGACGGCGAGGTGCTGAGGTGGAAGGCGTGGCCCTCTCACCCTGTGTACCTCCTCCCGGGCAAGCAGCGGTGTGTGCCTAGTTGGGCTGAAGAAAAGCCCATGAAGCAACTCCTCTGTAAAAATTATTACCTGTTGCTGCCTTCATTTTCTTTGCTTTTAAAACAAGATTTATTTTTCTATTTGAAAGGCAGAGAGAGCAGGGAGAGCGAGGCAGAGAGAGCGAGCGACCACGAGCTTCCATCTGCTAATTTACTCCCCAAATGGCTGTAAGTGACAGCACGTGGCCTGGAGCTTCACCCAGCTCTCCCAGGTGGGTGCAGGGGCCCAGGCACTCGGGCTACCTTCCACCGCCTTCCCTAGCACAGCAGCAGGGAGCTGGACTGAAGTGGAGCAACCGGGACATGGAGTACCCTCACGCGATGCTCGGATGGAAGGAAGCAGCTGAACCCGCAGCATACAATGCTAGCTCCTCCTTAGGACATACTCAGAAACACACTCAGAAAGGAGCAGGCTCAAAGGAGAATCTCAAATTCAACATCTGGTAATAACTGAACCTTCTGCTTACTTCTAACCATCTTACTATCTTTTTTTTTTCACTCTTTCTTGTTCCTTTAATATAACTTGATATTAGAGGGCTACGTTACCTGTACAAATGTTTGGGGCACCTGAGCTTCCGATGTGGAGTGCCCTCGAAGAAGCTCCCAAGCTAACAAGGTATGTTTCCACACCACCAAAACCACACTTGCTGTTTTTGTGTCTCCGCTCGACTCCCAATCTAGGTAATTATTATCCGCGCTTGTGTTCCATTACCAACGTTCTAGACTTCAAAAATCACCCACAGTACGTACTTAAGGCCACTGAAATGAACAATCCTTTTACCAGGTGTGCAGCAGTACAGCTGGCGGCTTTGCACTAAGAATGAACTGTACATGGCTGGAGCTGAGAAGCGCCACCGACAAGAACACAGCAGTGTTTACACGCCTCTCCCCATCAGGTCATTTTTTTTTTTTTTGGCTGAACTGTCCCCCAGCTTGAAAGGAAGAGATAAGAATCTGTAAATAACTGCCAAGGGCCAGGAAAACAGCAAGTGCCCAAACAGTGTGCTGATCAGAAAGGCACCTGAAGGGCCCCTGCTCTAGTTCCGTCCATCAGCAAAGAGGCTACGCTGAAGGAGAGCGTTTGGAAAGGCTGAGGGTGCAGCGGCCAGGGGGTCACTGCTGAAATGCAGGCCTGGGACTTGGTGAGAGCAGGGCGGGGGCTGTGTCGGGGCTGCCCTCCAAGCAGGGTGTGGACAATGTCCTCACGTCCCTTACGCACACTCGGTTCCGTGGAAGGACTCAGCTCCACGCAGCCGACCTCCTCGGGTCTTTTATTCCTCCCCATCCCCTTCTTCAAAAAAAATTGTTTAAAGTCTGTAATTTAAAACAAGCATCATTAACTTGAGAAATCTGTTGCTTCCTCAATGTAAAGCTGCTTACACTTGCTCAGAGAGGTAAAAGACCCTAAACATGTGACAGCTCAGAAGGCAGGGACTGCCCTTATCTGTGCAGTTCTATGTACATATGTATGAATATATATGTATGTATCTACTTATATAATATGTAACATCCCCCACTACGGCATCGAGGTCGCATTCAACATGACATTTCACAGCTCCGGAAAAAAGGACATAAGTTAGCTGCCATGGCTTTCCTGTACTTTAATAAAGCCATGGATGACCATCGTTGAGACGGAGCTGTCCCTGCCAGAGTGACATGGCGATGCGTGCTGCTTTCCCACGAGAGGCACCATCACTTACAAGAGAACGACGCTTCGGATCGGCATGTCCTGTCTGATTTTTACCAAGGGGATAGGAGGAAGAAGACATGATTTAAAAGTTAAAGGTGGACACAAAAATTACCCTGCCCATAGATTTACTGGTTATAATGGATAAGAACTTTATCCCAAATAAGAATTATAACCTACAGAGAGAAAATGGATTTTCACAGGAGACACTCCGAGACTGCTGCTATGGTATGGCTAGCCCTTTTCTAAGTGGAGAAAGTGTGTGTAGTTTGGAAGGCGTAAGGGCAGCACACTTAAACAACCTCCCCAGGGGAGAGTGGACCCTGTTGGTGAAAGCTGCTCCCACCACGCAGAGGGAAGGGCAGTGGACGCGTGAAGATGAGGATGGTTGGTGGAGACACATATTTATAGCTTTGTAAACTCTAAAGAGGAAAAAAAGAAACCCACCCTTTATTACAGCTGGGGTAAACAAAACCCCCTATCTAAAACTGAAAATTCCTACCTGCTCCAGATGGGAGAAACAGATACAGTGGCGGGGTTGAGCACAAGTCACTCCTCAAGTCCAGTTCTGATCTGTGTCCTTGACACAGTGACTCCCCAGACCACATTAGCTGTCTCACCAGACTAGTCCTGGTTCATCACTGGGCTACGTCATCGCTTCGTCTACTGGTATCCACATGTTTTCCTAAAGGGCACGGGGGTCAAAGTGGGGTTTCTAAACTGGCAGATGAATCCCTGAAATCCATTCTCAAGGTCCTACTGTACTCCACGTGCTTCTGCTGGACGCTTGGCCTCTACCTACTGCACCCAAAGGCTCCTGGCTCACCCAGACACGCTTCCTACGTTTCCTCCTCTAACAACTGCAGTGCTTTCAACAAGAGGAAAAACAATAATAAAATAGCAATAATTAAAAAGGTATTCTACATTATTAACTTCCATTTGGTATATTACAGTGGTATTTTCTGTACATGGCCCAGAACTAAGTTCCCTATGTACACAGAGACACGGAGTGCAAGCATCGACCTTGGAAGTCTTCGTCTCATGTCCTGGAAGACAAGATTCCTCTCTTCACTCAAGAGCTCCTTGCACACCGCCATTCTGAAGGAGCAGCGTTCTGTAAACTGGAGGGGCTGGGGACGGGAGGGTGGGTGAGCTTCCCTCTGCCTCCCCGCTCAGCAGCTGCTGTTCTTGAATTCACCATTCTCCGTAATGGAAAGCTTGGTGGGGTTGGTGGGCGACAGGCCGTTGCGCACCTGCATGCTGTACCGCTCCTTCACCTGCGTCAGCGCGCTCATCAGTCTGGTGTTGGCCGAATCCAGCGACACGATCCGTTTTTCCTGTAACACACCAAGCAAGGCTTTATTCAGGCTCCCGGCAGGAAGTAGCACGGTTTGGGTAGTTTACTGAACAACTAGCTTGATGCTTTCTCAGACAGCAGTACAAGGGAGCTTCCCAGACAAATGGAACGTCTCTGCCTCTTTCTGCGCATTCATCAAGCTCGGCCTCCCCTGAGCCCGCAGTCTCCGCTTGTTTTTCTCTCTTACTCTTTTGATGTTGTTGTTTGTTTCCTTTCAGCAAGAAGGACTTGTTCTGAACGATCCCCTGGGACCCTAGGCCACCATATACACATGACACCATGTATACCTTCCAATTACACAACACAGGTGTCAGGCACCTTACTGCTTGAAGGGCTCTCTGGTCAACACCGAAACATGGAAATCAGAAGGCAAAGAAAGAAGCACCAGAGGTTTCATTTCACAGAGGAGAAGTGCATGTGGTCTACGGGTTCTTAGCCCCCAAAGGGGGCATACTACTCAGGTTTGGCAAGAATTCACATTGTGCTCAAAATTAAAACAATACATAGTGGCAGTTCAGAGTCACCAACAAGGTGAGGATGCAATAGCAAGAAGGAAGGCAGCCAAAAGCTCAGACCAAGGAGTTATTGACCAGAGGGAGGGAGGTGTGGCTGAAAGGGGATGCCATGGACAGTACATGAGGACAGACAGAGGACACAGGCTCCGAGACCCATTCCAGCTCACGGTCACTCCGGGAAAGCTGCCTGCCGAGGAGAGTGCTTGCATTTCAATTCTGAGTGTCTGAAGAAAATTCCTGTGGAACCAGTATTTTGACACTAAGGTATGTTGAATACACATAATTAAAAATTCCCAAGGTGTGTGTTTGTGGTTGGGGTGGGGGGTAAAATTTAAAGGGGAAAAAGGCAGTTGAAACAAAACCACCTCAGCAAAACATTATTATCTTCACAAAGATTAGGGTGGATCTCTTGATTTTAGCGTCAGCATCTAGGTAATTTATTCCAGAACCTTCCCAACATAAAGCCCGTATGCTTCAGAAAACAAATTTAATCAAGTCTTTACTCATGCTCACTAAATTAAAGAACAAACAGCATATGAGGAAGAACCGCAGAGCCTGACAGGGTCTCCCTGCTCTGCGAGCTGTTCTGTTTCACCAGGGGGGAGCATGGAAAGACTCAGCACCTGCCAAGGTTCGAGGGGAGGAGGGCTGAAGGGCGCTGCTGCTCCGTTCTATAAAGCAGTGGCCACTCGGCACTGCGGCGCACTGTAGGGCTGGAGCCATGCTGCTGGGAGCAGGAGACATGAAGAAGCCAGGTGGGATCGTGGCACCACAGACGCTTCCCTCTGGTCGCTAGCTAGGCGACCATGCTGGGCTGGGTGGGATCTGCACCGCAGCAAGTGCAGGTGGCGGCCAGAGTTCCAAAAGTACAGAAACAGCAGCAACAACAAACTAGTTCGTGCTTGTTAACACTTAAAAAAATGGTCCTTCCCTCATGGAGTGCTGAGGTCATAAGCAAACATGCACCCAGCAATATTAACCAACCACGAATCCAGTGTGGGAATTGGGGAGGGTAACCTGATTTAGAGGTTGGCAAAACTCAAAGAGCTACAAGGCTTTTCAAGAAAAATAATTACAAAAATCAGAGCCAATTGAATCGGCTGGGATAATTAATACATTTTCTTTCTTTTTGATAGGTTAGGACTGGCCAGTGGGTACTAGGAAATAGACAGGAGCCAATGATTGCATCCCTGCCCTCCACTCCATGGTTAGAAATGATCTCTAAGCAAAACAGTCATTTCTTGAAATGATTAAAGAAGAAAGATATTTCAGCACTGGGCTAAATTACAAGGACCCAATATTAAGGAAGGCAGACTTCTTCAAGGTTCATCTAAAAAAACCCCAGGTGTTCATGGAAAATTATTTAACTCCTACTAGGTAAAAAAGACCAAGAATTGTAATCTAAAACTGTGATACTGACTGACCGTAAAGGTAAGAAGCCAAGCCAACAACTCCCTGATGAACACCCAACGGTACTTCCGGGGAGAGAAGCTCTTCCTCAGTGCCCCCACTACACTCTCACTAAATCAGAAAAAAAGAAGATATGTATCTTTCAAAGTGAGATTCCATAGGCAACGACGCTCTGATACTTTGACTGTCTGGACTAGAGGTCCGAGTGACTAACCCGAGTCTGACAGGAAGTGCAGGAGCTGGAATGTGTAGGAGGCCGTGCCTGGCCAGGGCTGGGAACTGCTCAGCTAGAGAACAGACGGGGTTTACTTGCCTGTGTGAACAATCTCATCTCCATCTATGACCTGTAATTTAACACAGCGGAGATATCACTTGCAACAGTACCTAGGCGGCTGCTTTGCTTCTCCGGGAGGAAGCCCTTCCGGGTTCTCCATCTGAATCACTGGGAGACACCCTGCAGGTGAGGCCTCCTCCTGCTCGGGGCTGGAGGCGCTCCTTGTGCCCTGCGCTGCTCTGTTAGGTTCCTGGGGGGCACCTTTAGCATTCCACGAAGAGCTCCACATCCACAGGTGATGACACCCACCCGCCCAGTGCTCCACCTTCCAGTTAGAGGCCTGTGCCTTGCAGCACGAGGTGACTCAGGGAGCACAAGGCTCTCTTGTGGGAGCTGAAGACCAGCTCAGGGGGCTCCCCGGTGCTCGTGTTTTGGGAAGTGCGGGGTTTCACTCTAGCACAAGTAAGCCAACTGGTTCATGCAGACACATTAATACTATTATTGTATAAATATTTTGCTACCATTGCACTAAGGTACATGTCAGGGACACAAAAAACATAGGTCACCTCTCTGGGGAGTTTTCACCCCCAAACATGTCTTCATTCTATTAAATGATGCCGGAAGGGCTGCTCTTCCCCATAAAACACTTAACGACATAAGACTTAACCATACAAGAGAAGGGATCTACTATAAAAAGTCATTTACCACATAGGATGCTAAAGGCTGTTGTTCGGTGTTATTATAACAAGGTTTTATTGTGTTAGTAAGCCAACACATGGAATTCAGAATCCTCCTTTATAAGGAGATCATAATTTTTCTAACTGCCTTTACATGTTTATAATTTGTACATGGTACAGGCAGTGGTTTTCAAAATGTAGTCTAGTAGATATGCCAGATATTCTCTAGGGCTCTGGGTGAATTTGGTAGAATAATTTACCACACAACAAAACCTATCTTTGAGTGGTAACTCTCTGTATGTGCCACCCTGGTAGGTTCTGACCCACTGGCACAGGATCGTGCCTTCAAAGGCACCTTGGTTCCAAAAATCAGGCCAGGGAACCAAGCCATATGGGAAGCCCTGCCTTAAAGACTTAACACGTTGACTGGATTAGCCCGACCACAAGTCTGACAGTGATGTGTGCTTTTCTGCCCTCCCTGCTCAGAGATATCTTCCCGGTTAATGGAGAGAAAGTCCTTCCTGTCTGAACTTCTGAACCGTGATAAATCATATTCCTTCACTGGCTCTGGGTCCATGACTCTGTTCCACACCCAGTTACTTCACTGTGGATGTTACCGTAAGGGCGGAACGAGGGTGGGGAGCTTCAGAAGCTAATAAGGTCTTGTGAGCCCATGTGCACAGAGCCACAGCCACGCCATACCCAAGACCCTCTGTGCCACTCTGGCACACAGAAGGCCAGCTGGCATGATTACAAAGGCCTGTTTTTATCACCTTGGCACTTTTCTTCATGGTAAGATTAGTTGAACTTTTCAAAACTTCTTTAGACTGTTACACTGAAATTCCAAAAGTGAAAACCTGTCAACAGTAGTTTTCCTGACTAAATTGCCTTTCCTATTCAAGCTGTTTCTCTTACACCTTTGGGGTGGATTTCTGTGGTATGGATGGCAGGATGGCCTGGTCTCCACCCTCATCTACCTTGGGGACACCTAGAAAGATGAAAAAACTGAAAGCATCACTAAGATAACTGTAGTAAACCTTTCTTCTGATCCTTTGCAGATCAAAATATCCAGAAATTATAAAAACCCCAAATACCTTGGGGAGCTACACGGCTGAGTGTCCCAACTCACAAGCTATGACACAGTATCTATCTTAGTCACGTTTTCAGCTTTACTCCTAATTCCTTTGAAAATTACACCCCATCCCACATTGGATCCAGCCCGGTGAGTGCATGTTTAAGAATACTGGAGGCTCTGGCCTGACCACAGGCTGTTCTGCAGGGAAGGGACAGAACATTGATGAACAAAGTTTCTCTCTCTTTCTCTCTCTTTTTCTCCCACAGCTTAAGGGTGAGAAATGAAAATCTGGCTGAGTTGTCTTCAAGGAGGTCGTACCTGCCAGAATACTGGCTATCAAGGCTGCACCTGATGTTTGCTATTTGTTCCACTTTAAGAAATACACTGATAAAATGAAAAGGAGTTAAAAACCACTGCCTGCCGCCGAGCCTTCCCTCTGACCAGTGGCGTGTCCCTGTGAGCTGCTGCTGGCAGTCCCCATCCCTCGGGCAGCACAGGCGGAAGCTCATCGAGAACAGGGACACGTTCTGATCCCATCAACCCTCTTCATCCAAAGAGGCTCTCTCAGCACAGTGCCAGCAAAAGCGGGCAGCAAAGCACATTCCAGGTAGCCGTGCCACAGCCACCACCCACAGGGTAACGAGGAAAGGACTCTTATCTTTCCTCTACAACTCCACTACTGCTGGGGGCTTGGGGCTTAAGGCAGTGGGCGTGACTGACAGACCATGAACAGCACAGTCAAGCAGTGGTTGGTGCAGGGCACAAGCCAGACACATGCAGCGCACTTTGCGGTTACCCTCTTAGAGGAAGTCTTCCTTCCAGGAAGGAAAGGAGCAAGCCCCACCACGCGCTAGGCTGAGATGTGTCAAGCAACCACACTCAGCACGCTAACACTAAGCTGGGTTAACAGAGTTGTTACCAGGGAAAGCAGGAAAAAATGATGGAGGTCACATGGAAACTGAATTAATCTTGGAAAGGAAATGCCAAGAACGTTTCAATGACCTATTCTCCAGGCCCTGTCTTGGCATTTGCAAGGGTGAGCAAGCGGGGGGCGACAGTTACTATGAACGAGTGCCTTCTGCTGGACGCGCAGCCCGCTCACCTGCGCATCGATTATCTTCTGCTTCGCATCAATAACGGCTTGCATCTCGGCATGGTCCTTCTTCAGCTCTTCCTCCACAGCCATGAGCCTAGAACGCGGCAGGAAGGAGATGTTAACATTTCCAGAGAGAGGACGAGGCACTGTAGAGAACGAGAAACTCAGAACTTATCACCGTACTCCCTCTGCTATGCAAGGCCTGTAACCACGCTGTCCTGGCTCTCTCCCGAGAAGACATCGAGGCTGACTTGTGTCCGAGATTGGCCCCCAGGCGTTTCATCTCATCATTTCTTCTTTCTCCTTAATCAGGCAGCACCTATCACCCCAGCACAACTTATTTCATCTTAAAATATCAAACCAAGGGCACAGTGAGTAAAGCTGCCGTCTGTGGTGCTGGCAACCCTTATGAGCACAAGTTTGAGTCACGGCTACTCCACTTCTAGATCCAAAAAAGCACCTGGGAAAGCAGCAGCAGATGTCCCACGTCCTTGGATTCCTGCACCCACACGGGAGACTCAGAAGAAGCTCCTGGCTCCTGGCTGGGGACCTGCTCAGCTGTGGTTATTGTAGCCAGTTAGGGAATGAACCAGGAGATGGAAGCTTTCTCTCCTGATCTCTCCCTCTCTCTCTGAGGAGGTTTACCTTTCAAATAAATACTTCAACTAGCCACAGAAAAGCTCTCTTCTTTTCTTCACATGCAGAACTAAGTTTTCTGAGCACTCTATTTAAAGTTGCTCCCAAGTCTTCCTTATTCACCATTTCGTAATCCAGTGATGTCTCACTCCAATACACTAGCTTCAGTAAGACTGCCCATTACTTCTATAATATTTTTTTTAAAGATTTATTTTTATTATTTTATTGGAAAGGCGGATATACAGAGAGGAGAGACAGAGAGGAAGATCTTCCGTCCGATGATTCACTCCCCAAGTGAGCGCAACGGGCCGATACTATGCCGATCCGAAGCCAGGAGCCTCTTCCGGGTCTCCCAAGCGGGTGCAGGGTCCCAAAGCCTTGGGCTGTCCTCTGCTGCTTTCCCAGGCCACAGGCAGGGAGCTGGAAGGGAAGCGGGGCTGCTGGGATCAGAACCGGCGCCCATATGGGATCCCGGGCGTGCAAGGCGAGGACCTTTAACCACTTGCGCCACCGCGCCGGGCCCTACTTCTATAATATTAAACTTATGGTCTCTCCACTGCCTTGACCTGCACACAGCAACCGACACCACAGAGGCCTCCTGTTTGCGAGCAGACTCCGCAGCCCGGCCACTGCTGCTTTACCTCCTGCTGTACTGCTCCGCGCCTTGGGACAGGGGCTTCATTCATCTACTGCCTGTTCACTTGTAAAACTGGAATAATAATGCTTAACTCAGGGCCCAGCATGATAGCCTAGGCTAAAGTCCTTGCCTTGCATATACTGGGATCCCATATAGGTTCTAATATCCCATTTGCCGGTTATAATCCTGGCAGCCCTTCTTCCCATTCAGCTCCCTGCTTGTGGCCTGGGAAAGCAGTCGAGGACAGCCCAAAGCCTTGGGACCCTGCACCTGCGTGGGAGACCTGGAAGAAGCTCCTGGCTTCGGTTTGGCTCAGCTCCGGCCATTGTAGCCACCTGGGGAGTGACTCATCAGACGGAAGATCTTCCTCTCTGTCTCTCCTCCTCTCTGTATATCTGACTTTGCAAGAAAAAGAATAATGCCTAACTAAGAGATTGCATGAAAATTAAACAAATTAAAAATTATTTCAAAAAAGGTGTATCTATTTGATAAGGAGAGAGAAGAGAGGGAGAGAGAAGAGGAGGAGAGAAGAGAGGGAGAGAGAAGAGAGAGAAAGAGAAGAGAGGGAGAGAGAAAAGGGGAGAAGAAGAGAGGGAAGGAAAGAAAGGGGCAGGCGAGAAAGGAAGAGAAAGAACAGAACAGAACAGAACAGAACAGAACTCTTCTACTCTGCTGGCTTACTTCTCAAAACGCCCACAGCAGCCAGGGCTGAGCCAGGCTGGAGTCAGCAACCAGGAGCTTCTCCGGGGTCGCCCACATATGTGGAGGGGCACAAGCACTAGGACCCCTCTTCTGTTGCTTTCCTGGGCACATCAGCAGGGAACCGGCTGGGAAATGGAGTAGCTGGGGCTCAACCTGGGGCCCATGTGGGATTACCCACTGTGCCCTGATGCCAGCCTCTTATTTTAAAAGTGCCTAGGAAAGTTCCTGGTGTACAGTGAAAAACACGTCAATGCTAACTTCTCACTTATTCTGCCTTGGCATCTGTGGTATTCCTGGCCCTCTGGCCCTAAAGGTAACCAGTGCAACTCCTTGCTTTGTCTCTGGATTGTTTTTAAAAATGATGTTAATCTTGGCTTTGTATCCTTGAATTTTTTTTTAAAATATATTAATACATTTGAGAGGCAGGGAGAGAATGTAACACACACACCCCCACCCGATTAGGGCTGGAGTAAGATCATCCAAAGCAGGCCTCCTGCACGGGAGGCAGCACTCAGCTCTCTGCACATTAGTGGGAAGCGGGCTAAGGAACTTCCTGGAAATCCAGCCCAGGCATCACGGCAAGGGAACCAGGCTTCCTAAACTGGTGCTGCTTTATCCTCTAGGCCCAATGCCTAGGCTATTTAGATTTCTTTAAACAGAGCTTTCTTGTGAAATGTCAAGTGAGCCCTGCATCTTTATTTTTTAAACTGTCACAGTTAAGGAAAAACAATCTTCTCTTCACTGCAGTGCCCTAGCTTGCTGCCTCACACAGTCCCCAGAACGCATGTCGCTGTTCTGAGCATCTGCCCACGTCCCGGCTCCCCTGCCCGCGAACCTGCTGATGATGCTTTTCATCTGGCTGTCCTTCTCCTCCTGCTGCCTGCGCAGCCGCTCCTCGCTGTCCTCCAGCCGCGCCTTGTACTCCAGCAGCAGCTTCTGCATCTGCTGCTCCTGCACCAGCAAGCGGCGCTCATACTCCTCCAGCCGCCGGCTGGACACTCTCAGGCGCTCCTTCAACTTACTGATTTCCTGCTCGTACTAAAGCAGAGAAGGAATGCACCAAAGACAAGAGAGACACCAGTTACTATTGTTCTAGAACGTAGTGACTCGTACTGAAAAAGCCCTGGGCCGCGTCGCCCCGATGCTGCCCGAGCTGCACTGCCCACTGCTGTCTGCTCACGGACACTATCGGCTGGCAGAGATGGCAGTGGAGCTCCATCCTCCTCAAGCTCAGCCTGGCATTCGGATTTCCATAAAATGTGCCTCCCTCCACATTAAATCACCAGTTGCTACCAGCCATATCCAATTTGTGATGGTATAAAATGAGGCAAGAAAAACAAACAAAACCCAGGTACTTAGAAGACTGAGAAATCTCTTAAAATAGTCCAGGAGCCTGTGTCTGTGAGAGACGTGATTTCTGTGTGATCACCACACCTCCTCCAAGGATGGTTGAGTTCTCCTGGTTCTAGGAGTACCATTCCTTTACCAGTGAACAAGCAAGGTTCCTATAATGTTAAACCACTAAATCAATAAAGAGAATGTCAAAGTCGTGAGGCTATTGCTGCTTTATCCACGACTAGGTCTGCATAAAATATTCAGTTCACCAGCACTAAGCAAAGGCCTTCGTGTTGTCGAGGGCAGAGTCCCACTACCTCTTGGGCCATTTCCATGCCATGCGTTCACCACTCAAGTCGGTACTGTTCTTGTTGGGGTGTGTTTGTCTGAGTTCTCACTAAGAAGCTTTTCCTAAGTTCATAAATTCAATCGGCTACACGGCCCTTCCTTGTCCTGACATGGCTGTTGTTGAGGTGTGGGTACTCCGGAATGCTGCACTTTGCAGTGAAGTGAGGAGCAGAGTTTTTATGTGAATGGTCTGCTTGCCAAATTCATTCACAATCACGGATAAATTTGTACAATACATTGTACAATGAAATCTATTTTTACATATAATTGATAAGCAGATAATCAGTTATTGCCCACCCAAATATTACTGTTGCAACCGAGGGTTAGAACCCTTTTCTGCCAAAGGCCATCTCAAATTTATAATACCATTTGCAGGTCATACAAGACTACCAACTTAAAAACTAATTTGCTATAGATTTGTTCAGTGTTGAGTTCTGCCTGCTGTTGGTTGACAAGGCCAGACCATGACTCTGTAGGCCTCCTGTGGGCTTTCCACATCACTGCGTGCGTCTTCACCCGGAAGGTCAAAGGTAAGAGTTTTTACGACAGGTGTGAAGAGGCAGACCACACCAGTAGGTGCAGCTTAGGATTCTGCAGGCCAGGAGAAGCTGACTATCTGTCAACTCAAGATGCTAAGGCTCTGTAAGATGCCAAGGTCCTCGTCTGACAACCCTTTTCCTCCTCTGTCAACGTTTCTTTAAAAAAAAAAGTGAAAAACAAAACCTAAGCAACAGTAATATCCTCTCTAAAGAATTATGTATAGAGCTAGAAAACGCAAACACAAAGCAAATACGAAAACCAAATCCAAATTGTCACCAAGATACAAAGAACAAGTCTAGTCTTAAGTTATTTTGGCCATGGTTGAAGACTAACCATCAAGTTAAACAGACACTGAATATTCACCTAAAACGGCTAGAAATGAATAACAGTGTCTCCCAAATTAAGGCAGTCTACAGTATAAGATAAAACAGTAATGGCCAACAGCTGCCCTACAACATACAGTGATGGCACTCCTCACATATTCGTACGCAGACACCAGCACTGGCCTCCCGTACACACACGGGTCAGGGGATCACAGGTGTGGGCAGCAGAGGACACCAAGTCCAAGGACTTTCCAACAGTCTCCCTGCGGGGCTCTGTCAGGGGAAGACACAAGTCTTACCTTCTCAGCATGCTTCGCGTCATCTTGGTTTTGCTCAGCTTCTTCCACATCCTCCTCATACTGGCCATTGTTCAGAACCCAGGCTGCTGTCCGCTCCACCGGGGACATCGTGGCAGAGTCCACAGGGGACTGCACCTGCAGCAGAAATCATTAGTAGCTTTTCTCCAAATGCTCACATGTTGGGTTTTAAAAGCAGAGTGATTCTTGGGAGATACATCCTTCCTAATACATGTTCTCGGCTCCATGTGATGCACGATTAAGCCAGCAATGGGGTGGGGCCAGGGAATATCCATTTGTGTGAGAACAGTTCTGCACAGAAATCTGTATGCATCACATTCAAGATTCATGCTTTTTCTCTCTCAATAGGAAGCCAAGGTCTTACAATTGTTAACTAGTAATTTCTTTTGCTCAGTGGTCCAGATGCTATTAGGAACTAAGTTTCCTACTGATGATGTCATAATGAGTGAAAAAATGACAGCTAATTGCTCGTGCTAGAAAACATCTACTCAGAGATGAACACAAGCCAAAGACCTGATTAATCTTAAAATCACAAAGTGAGTTTGATGTTTGCATACATATATACATATGTATGTTTATAAATAAACTGTTGTATTTTTTCTAATATGTACTAAAATAACTACATGAATTAAATCATTTTTCTGCAAACACTTAAGTAATTCTGAAAATCCTACTTTGCGTGTATTAATGCATGGGACACGTAATAAAAGACAGATAACTATACACATCTAGACTGATCAGGAACAAACAAAATGGGCCACCAGGGCACTTTTTAAAGCACACGTCTCTTTACACACACATACCACATCCTCCCCTTGTTGGACTTGAAGAGCAGAGCATAAAACTTTGCTTTACTTTTGGCAAAGACAGACAGTAACAAGGGGCTTAGGTTATAATTTAATGTACATACACCTGCAAGGCAGAAGCAGCTGACACTGAGTCTTAAAAATGAGCAGAAAATCAATTTTTAAAGGACATTTTAGTTTAAAAAGACATTTTAGTTTTATATTCCTATCACTTATCCTGTGCACAAAGAGCACAGGAAAGCTGTGAAACCAGGGCTTTCTCCTCATCAGCGTCCTGAAATAGAGCGGCTGCTAAAAGGAATACCTGCTATTTAGAATGTATTACTTCAAGGCCCCTATCGCAACAGCTTTCCGGATATGCTGCTCAGAGGAACTTTCTGATTTGTGAAATAAAGGTATTCTTAGGAATGCGTAAAGAAGCGATCTTAGCTCTCAAAATCATATTAAGAACAATTATAAAGGCATTAAATAGGATGCAAAAACAAATGTTTATTCGTTCTATGAGAGTGGCAGTACTGAATTCCAGAAGAACTAATATAATGTCTAATGAATGAAGAGAAACCACTCAGTCAGAACTCATCATTTCGGTCTATTTCATTGGTTGCCTCTTATTTTCAGCCACTTTCTAATATACACTAGCATCCTGTTTAACAGGTTAAAATAACAAAATAAAATTGATAAAAGTCTCAGACCAACTTTAATTATTCCTTCTATTTGTAATAAAGTTTTGATAAAACCATAAAGATATGAAAAACAAATATGCTTTTATTACAAAGATGTCATTGTTTATTTGAAATACAGAGTTCCAAGGGAGAGAGGGGGAAGAGAGGGAGGGAAAGGGAGAGGAAGAGAGTGAGGTAGAGAGATCTTCCCCCAGTGACTACGATAGTCAGGGCTAACCAGGCTGGAGCCAGGAGCCAGGAGCTTCACTGAGGTCTCCCACATGTAGCAGAGGCACAAGAACACGAGCCCTCTATTGCTTTCCCAAGCACATGAACAGGGAACCGGATCAGAAGTGGAGCAGCCAGGCCATGGCACTGGCATTGTACATGTTGGCTCAGCCCACTGCACCACAATGCTAACCCCTGAGAAGCTATTAAATCAGAAATACTTATTTTACTAGGTTGGAAAAAAATAGAAGTGATTTCATTTCGAAGAAATCCGCCGAGTCTGAAGAAAGGGCTGACTAATGCATGAACTCCACGATCTCTCGAGAAGGTTGGCTAGCAGAGGGGTCAGCAACCCTCAGTTTGCCAACTGCAGTATTGTTATCAGAGGCCATGGCATAAGCTGATTTTAGAAGGCCTTTTCAAAACTGAGTTCCTAAGGTCGGGCAGCATGGTAAACCTGAACAACTCATATCATGTACATAAAGTGTATTATTTACGCAGAGAGCGGACAGTCATGAGAGACAAAACAGACAGCAACATGAGAAGTCCAAGTAGAGCATACAAAGGATTAAAAAAATGCAAATGATAGGTCCCTGAAAAAAAATCCATCTCTGTGTACTATTTCATTTCCTTTCTGCTTACCCCATGGAGAGCACAGAAGCTCGTCACACTGCCAACAATGGCTGCTCCTTTGTGCTACCATGCGAATGGAATTTGCATGGGACAAAGCCACTGATAATTACCGAGGCTACCGAACAATCCCCACAAAGAAATCCTCTAGCATTTGGGAGAGAATTCCCCTACACAATCTGCAATTAAAGCATTCAGAGGAATTTGCCTAAAAAAATGTGCTGATTGTACAGAAATTTTATGGAATGAGAATCCTACACAAGAAACAAAAGCAAGGAATAAAACAGCTAATGGCCTGGGTTCAAAAAAAAATGAACAGTCTTGGGTACAGAGAGCAAGGCCAGAACATCAGAAACCTGAGCAGTTAAAAGCCAGGGAGTCCTATGACAGCGTCAGCACCCACAGAGGCACAAAGACAAACATTTAAAGCTGTGTCTGCTGGGATGCCTCCCTGAGGCTCCGCCCCACACTCTCCCGTCCACCAATGGTTGTGGGGCAAAAATTAATATTTAAATTGGTTGTCAGAAGGCTGGCGATTTCATTTATAATACCTAGCAACAACTAGCTCGTATCATGGGGCACTGGGAATGGAGGGTAGCAGATATTGGGGGTAACAATACGGAGGAAGTTTGGGGAAGGGGTGGGTGAATCTTAGAACCTCTCAAACTGGGCCATAAAATGAAATTAAAAAGAAGATATTGGGGGAGTGGGTAAGCAGAATTTTTTTTTTTTAATTTTCCTTTTTTCCCCCAGGGATAGATCCAAGTTAACTTCTGAACAGGAGGCCTTTCCTCCGCCTGGCCCTCTGCCTCTCCGCGGGGTTCTCTAAGCCGGCCTCACCCACCGCACCCTCCAGCTACCCTCAGCGCCCCGACGTATGTGTCTTTCCACACAATATTCTATCTTTAAAATCAGTTCTAATTTTCTTCTCAATAAACACATCTAATTTTTTGAAAGTACTGATATAACTAGAGGCTGGTGGGCCAAAGCCATGCAAGAGAACAAATTCATGACATGATGATGGTCTCCTACAAACACACACTGCACACCCAGCAGGGCACTTCAAAACGGCAGCGGCAAACAGAGGTAAAGACAAGCTCATTTTGGTATAAAGGTGTTTCTTGAAACCATACATGTGAGGTGTCTTCCGAGACTGTGGAGCAGTGGGTTTCCAGCCCGGCAGCTGAGACTCCTCCACTCCAGGGAGCAGCTGAGTTCCAGCCGCGCCTGCAGCCCCTGCCGGTGACAGCTCCTGTACACTCCCGCTCCCCACCCGAGAGACCCTGCTGGGCTGCTGGCCCAGACCCAGTCTCTGTGGAGAGCCCGACAGTGGGGTCCTCCTCTGTCCCCATCTTTCTGCCTCTCAACAAAACAACAACAACAACAAATAAAAATGTATGGATTTTAAAATTTCTGTATCAAAATATTTCCTTATTATTTAACTTTCCATGAGCTTTTTATTTTATTTTTTTTCAGTTCTAAAGAGCTTTAATAAGAGAAAAGCCTAGGGCCCAGTGGCATGGCCTAGCGGCTAAAGTCCTCTCCTTGAACACGCCAGGATCCCATATGGGCGCCGGTTCTAATCCCGGCAGCTCCATTTCCCATCCAGCTCCCTGCTTGTGGCCTGGGAAAGCAGTCGAGGACAGCCCAATGCTTTGGGACCCTGCACCCATGTGGGAGACCTGGAGGAGGTTCCCGGCTCCTGATCAGCATAGCACCGGCCGTTGTGCTCACTTGGGGAGTGAATCATTGGACAGAAGATCTTCCTCTCTATCTCTCCTCCTCTCTGTATAACTGACTTTGTAATAAAAATAAATAAATCTTAAAAGAAAAGCCTCACAGTTTCCAAATGTCCATCAAAAAGATAGAACGAATATTAATCATGTTGGTATTAGGAAGAAATAAAATTAAAGGATAAAGGGCCCGGCGTGATAGCATAGTGGTTAAAGTCCATGCCTTGCACATACTGGGATCCCATATAGGCGCTAGTTCTAGTTCCGGTAGTCCCACTTCCCATCCAGCTCCCTGCTTGTGGCCTGGGAAAGCAATCGAGATGGCCTAAAGCCTTGGGACCCTGCACCCATGTGGGAGACCTAGAGGAAGCTCCTGGCTCCTGGTTTTGGATTGGCTCAGCTCCAGCCATTACGGCAGCTTGGGGAGTGAACCAGCGGATGGATGATCTTCCTCTGTCTCTCTTCCTCTCTGTATATCCGTCTTTTCAATTAAAAAAATTAAAGGATAAAAAAGAGGGAGAAATGATGAAGGCTGATAACTGTTCTCATCCATAAAGACACTTTCTCAGGTAACAACTCCTGTTACAGCAACGGACACGCAGCAACCAGGGAGCCGGCCACAGCTGCCGCAGACGCAGCATCGGGCAGTGAGGTGCAGTCACACTGTTTAGGAGTGGCTTGCTTAAACGTTGAAGAAGTGAGACTTCATCCTTGTCAAAGACGGCCACCTCCGTGGGACATTCGGAGCACAGCACCACGCCCGTGTCCACCTGCGGCACGCGTCTTCCTGGTTAGACCTCATCTTCTTTCTGCCTCGCCATTTCTTCCTGTTCTCCGGCCTTGGTACCTTAGAACCTCCTCACTGCTGATAGAGCACTTCGTCCCGAACATGGCTCTATGCTGAGTTCTGTAAGATTCACGCGTCTGGCAGTGCAGGCACAGGGTGGTCCTGAGGCAGGGCAGCGCAGCACAGTGTCACTACTGGGAGCCGGCTGCTGTTGCAGCGTGGTCTCTGCAGGCCAAATCCACAGCAACCCCTTCTCTGTGCATCAACCCAGCCTGGTCTCTGTCGTCGTTTTCAAGATCGCACAGTAACTCATCCTTTGTTGGAATCCTGTATCGTTTCTTCTTTTTCTTCTTGGTCTCCCCTGCTGCTCTGTCTTCTTCCTCAGAATCAGAATCAAAATCTATGTCATCATAGTACTTCGTCACAACCGTCCTACTTTTCCCACTTCCAGAGGAAGGCCCTGTTCCCAGCGAGGATCACTTGTCTCCCACTGTTGTTACAGTAGAGTTTAACTCAGCTTCCATTTCTTTTTCAAATCCATCTTCACTAGATGATTCACTTTCTCCAGTGAGACATTCTCTGAGCAGTTTTCGCTTCTGTGTGCAGTTCCACGTAAAAGCACACCCACTTCATCTTCAGGCTGCTCCAAGCCGGGTTCTTGTCGCTGGCCTCTTGCACTGCATGGGGGTCGTTGTCACCCGATGGCCGGATCAGGTGGCCACACGCACCCTCGGTCTTCACTTGCGTCGCTCTTCACTTGTGGAGCCTCCCCAAAGAGTCTCTGCTTTTTGTTTTTATTCATTTATTTTTAAATATTTACTCAGAGGCACATTAAAGGAGAGACAGGAAAGACCTTCCATCCGCTGGTTCACTCCCTAAATGACTTCAATGGCTGGAGCTGAGCGGCGTTCCCTTCTGGTTTCCTGTTGGGGTGCAGGGACCCTGGAGTTGAGCCCTCTGCTGTGCCCCAGGCCATAGGCAGGGACTGAAACGGAACAGCTGGGACACAATGCTGGCAGTGCAGGCTGAGGAGTACCCTGATGAGTCGCCATGCTGGCCCCTAAGACTGATTTTGTTTTTACTGGAAAAACACAGTTACAGAGAGAAAAGGAAAGACAGAAGAATCTTCCATCTACTGGTTCGCTCCCCAAATGGCTGTAAAAGCCAGAGCTGGACCTCTCTGAAGCCAGGAGCCAGGAGCTTCCAGCGGGTCTCCCACGTGGGTGCAGGGTCCCAGGGATTTGAGCCATCCTCCACTGACTTCCCAGGTACAATAGCAGGGATCTGGATCAGAAAAGGAATAGCCAGGATTTGAACCAGTGCCCATACAGGATGAAATTGTGGCAGAGGCTTAGCTAATTCCACCCTTGTATCAGCCCCTTCCATAAACTTTTTTGAATTATGGCCTATATTTACACATATACAGATTACATACATGAAATATATATACACACACATATATGTACATGTATACATATAAATGTATATAAAAGGCATATTTCCCCTCTTTCTTTAGCTGAAAATATTTAGTAAATCAACTGGATCGGTGACATTTTAGAAAATGTAACAAAATGAAAATTTAAAAATTAAGAATGCCCAGAGAGCAGTTCTGTCCAAAAGTTTGCTCTCAGAATCTGCTTAACTTTGTTATGGTTTTTATTCCTTCTTTAACTTCTGTATCCTGGATTCTGTAAATGTTTCACTATTTTTAAAAGACAACAAAGTAGGGGAAAAGGATCTCATTGGAGTTGAGGCAGAAGCAGTTAAATGAAAATCATACAAACATACCACAGACACACACTGGGATGTAGTGCATAAAACAATGTGGCACCGAGGCTTCCAGTCGCAAAACTCCCTAGTACTTACAAAGCACAATCAGGCTCCCCAAAACTCAATGAATTCAACAAAACTTTTTAGGGGAAAATATCTGTCGATGACAGGTACACATGGAGGTATTTCAGAAAGTTTGTGGAGACATGGAAGTAATAGATAAACTTATTTCAGCACAAAAGAATTTATTTTTAGAGCCAGCCATGGTTTCTTTCATTTTTTTAAAAACCTTTTTGAAGTGCCCTCACTTCTGCGTGTGTATGTTCTTAAGGTTATTTCATTTCAAAGAATAAAGTACAGACTGGCACCTCAAAATCTAACATGTAAGGTAGAAATGACTGGGTTACTGGCAAACATTTCTATTTGTCGCAAAAACAGTTTGGAAATTGTCATGTGTGCAGAGCGGGGGGACACCGGCTCGGGCTGTGTGTGTGTGTGCTTAGGGTGCGCGTCAACCCCGTGAGTCTATCCTCTGGCCCTCTGCGGCACCTGTCCATCGGGCGTTCAGGGGACACACGGATGGGACTGGCGATTTCCACGGGGAGTTGGGGAATAAAATGGGAGCAGTGACTTTACATTCTTGTCTTAGAACACAAAACTTTATTCTGGAAGCTTAAGGAAAAGAAAATTAGGATTAATTTTCACAGTGTTAAAATACGCTGTGGTTGCCTTTGCCTACAGATCTCTGTAAGTATTTAACTCAGCACAGCTCTGTGCCAGGTACTGGCTGAGGCAGGCGGGGCCTCGGAGAGGTCAAGGCCTCAGTGAGTCAGGGCTTGAGGTACTGAGCTCAAGCACCTTCTGCTGCCTCCCTGAGCAGGGAGCCTCCCGGCCACTCGCTCCCTCCAGAACAAGACTGGGACTTGGAAAGCCAACAGCAATGGGATTGCCAATGGTTTACATTTACAGGTGGACCGACAGAAGCCAGCCCCTAGAGCGCCCCCTACCTGCTGGGTCTGCTGCCTCTGGATCGCCCTCACTTTGGGCACAGGGCTCTCCCGGGAGGAAGAGGATTGCTGCCTGGAGCGGCTCCCGTTCTGCACAGGTTCGGCCACCAGCGCCGCGGACGTCACCGACATGCCCCCCGTGCTCCGCAGGGAGGCGCTGTGCGGCAGGGAGGCCGGCGCTTTGGCTCGGGCGCCCAGCCCAGCCTGGTCCATCTTTCGGATTTGGGTCTGCCCGGTGCTGTTCTGTCGCGGTAGAGCCAGGGGTATGTGTCTGTCGGGCACGGTGTGCCGCCTGAAGTCCTCGCTCTGCGTGCTGCGCCTGGTGAAGTCCTCCATGCTGCTGTTGCTGGGCCCACTGAGTTTGAAGTCCTCACTGTTGCTTTGGCTTCGGGAACTGGCAGTGCTGAGGTTCTCCAAGCTGGAATCCACAGAGGCCTTTGGCATGGACGGAATCGGGTTACTGAGGTGGTAGACGGGGTTTTGGAAGGACAGGGGCTGGAGGCTGCCTGGTTGGTTCAAGGCTGGGTGCAGGGGCCTTCTCACTTGGGGTGCACTCTGGGGGGTGCTCTGGGACTCGCGCAGCTGTTTGATGCTGGCCACCTGGGTGATGGAAAGCTGGCTTCCGGCCAGGCGCACGGGCACGTCAAGCATGATGGACCCACGCTCGCCCTGGGCAGCGTGAGTGTCCTGCAGGTCCATGAGCGAGATGCTCCGACCGTTCGGAAGGCTGCTTTCCTTCTCGTCCTTCTCAGAGTAAGTCATGCTCTGGGAGGAGGCTTGCTGCACCAGCAGCAATGTTCTTCCTCGGAAATAGCTGTCGGTGTGGTCCTGGCTGGGAGACTTGAGCTTGTGCAAATCACTGCGGAAAAGGAAAGAACTAGTAACTCGTGAGGCCAATTCACCAGTCAGGTGTACAAACTCTTCTGAAGGGTCACTGGGCCCAGCAAGGTCACTTCCATTTCTCTGCAAATTATGACTCCATCACTACAGTTCTTAGAATAAAATCCTGCATATTTAAATAACACTGTGTAGACCATCGCATCACTGTCTTCAACTTTTACTAGAATCCCAATAATTCTAGAGTGAGCTCTAAAATCCTACCAAGGGATTGCAATTCATACTGAATGAGATCTACTCCAGTCTTTAAGAGGTGCTCCAAGTGCACAAACCAGGGACCCAGTTCCGAAAGCAGCAGCGCCGGCGCTGTGTCTGCTTGTCCAGCTAACCAGCCGGCCATAAAAAGATTTCTAACTGGTGGTCTCCAGAGTGAAACCATCAACGTCACAGCCTTCATCCAAGCAGGGCATAGATTTGCTTACGCACTCAATGAATCTAACTCTACGCTATCATCCCAGAAAATAAATTATCCTGGATTCTGTGGATTATGACAAACTTCTGGGTTTGTCTCAGGTCAGACAATTATTTACAACTGCTGAAAACGTTTCAAGCTGTAAATCCAACATATAAATAAGTTCAACAGGTTTCTGCCAAATGTCAGCATTATTTCTCCCGTACCTGTCAGTGGGGTCTTCAAATATTTTCTGCAGCCCGGAGGAGAGGCTTCCACTGACATTTGGACTCGAGCTATGCTCAGTGAAACGTCTCAGTTGCTGCTGTATTGGCGTAGGGTTAGTCAGAGACTTGGTAATATCGGAAAGAACTCGAGGGAGAGGCCCCAGCTTTGCCACGGTCGCCTGTAGGAAGGAATTTTCACCCTAATTGGACAACAAGCATTGCGACATCCACCACAGGTTGTTGTGGCGGCCATGGTGCGCGTTGATGGAGGGGTGTGTTGGAGGGAAGGGTGGGTGATTGCGCATGGGGGTGGCAGGTTCATAATGCATTGTTATGGAGCAGCAGAACCATGGCGTCGATGAATGGAGGAGGCGAGACAAGGTGCAGCGGACATTGAGGAAAGAAAGGAAATAGAAATTAGGATTATGCAAATAAAAATTAAAAGACATGCTCAAAACAACCAAACTATTGCCATTCCAACTAAAACAGGCATGCAAAGCAAACTGAATCGGTGGAAGGCTAGCCGACCAGGGTGGGGGAGGGTACTGGAAGAGCCAAACACCTTCAAACCAAAGGCAGCTTCAAGACCACAGGAGTGTCCGTGTGATTAAACTTCCAAAGGAAAGGGGGTCGTGTGAGTAAGAGATGCATGCCAGCAAGCAGGGAGGTGCTGCATTCGGGACCCCAGGGCACTACAGGGCACGGCCAAAGCTGCCATTCACTGTCCCACTCGGATCCTGGGAACCCTGACCTGCTGCCAGTAAGCCACTGTCATTTCCTTTTTCTTTGAAACAGTAAAATCAGATAAACTGTAGGAGATGCATTTCTAGGTTTTCAGAACTAAATACTGACTTTTGAGGAGGGCATGATCACTCTGAATAAACCGGGCCTGTTTCATAAAGATCACGGCAGAGTCCACCGTAGTTGTTCAAATAAGAGTAACACTCCAGTGCCTCCTTCACTACTCTCATATTTCTCTTTTTTTGGAATTCTTACTCCTATGGGTCTCACAGCGCCCTCATCTGTTGGGAAGTTTTAACGGCTGCTTATGGGCGCTCTTTGTCTTCTGAACAACCAAGACTTCCTCGCCGCTCCAGTGGTACAAACGCCATCTGAAGGAGGCCTGTCCTTGCTCCACGGAGCTGGGTCATGCTCCCTCAGCAGGGCTAGGACTTCGCATCTCGGGGTCATTTCAACGTGCAAGCAGTATGGGGGGATACAGGACAGCTGACTGTTGGAATGTTCTCAACACTGGGGCACACACTGGGTTTGTGCTTCTTTAGGAAGGCGGTCTTTGCTCATGCAATATATTTCCTTACAGATTCTAATGGACAAGAGAAAAATGGGGAAAAAATACAGGCACGTATGTGTCCTTATTATGGAAAAATAGTTTTGTCTTTTGAGTTATTCTGACATACCAATACACATGTTCATAAAATATGTGCATCAAATACAAATGCCGATAAACACTTGGGATAAACCTAGCCAAAGCTGATGAGGGGATTTCCCACCACAAAATTGACTTCTTTTTGTGGTGTTCAAGAAAATGATTGGCATGTTACACATTAACTTGTAAATATGGCACACAACAAAATACTTGGGTGTTGGCCATCAAGTAAATGATTAAAATTGACAAAATTCTGCGTTCTTCATTTATAACTGCAGAGAAAAATAATCAGGATTTTTGAGACCACATATGATTTTTAGCTCTAATAACTATATCAAATCTGGAAATAATAAAGTGTTTTATTCAATAGTAGAACATTTAGCATTAATAATTATATCAAGACTTGAAAAATAAAAATGCTTTTTTCCTGGGTAAAGTTACGTAAACCTGATAAACTCAGTATTTCCCTAATTCTAAACTTCACTAAGAAATCAGTACATCAGGTTCATCAATTGTGTGAGAATCAGGCTGCTTTACCAGTATTTAATGTTAGTCCCTCGGCAAGTTTTCAGAAATGTGTTATATATAAATTGAACTTCATGGCTTTCTAGAATCTCGTGGTTGCATATTGCATATTTTATTCAGAACTGACAGCCATTTAGGCCTAGCCTTCCAGGGCAAAGTAGGCTGTGCTCCAGCAGTGGCAAGGGTGAGGACAGACACTCCCAGAATTCAGGGCCATCGTAGCTCGCTCTGTCATCTCTCATTAGGCAACCACCTACTTTACCTTATCAAGTTGGGAAACTACTTCCCACAGTAAGGAATGTAAAACCGAAAGTTCTCGGCCCAGATCAATGTAACCATCAAAGCCTGGCGTGTTTGAGATGGTGTCTGGATTAGAGATTTCCAAAAGAAAGCGCTTCATTCCACCCCATTCGTGTTCTAAAAAATCATTCATGAATGCCATGTATTCCTCTTTGTTACCAAACCTAAAAGGAAGAGAGTGAGAAAATGAGAAAGGGCATGTTTAAGCCAAGGTACTCATCATTTTGAGTTGATTTCACACATGGCTGTAAAACTTACATATTTATAGAAATAATGACTGTTTGTACTATCTGTAAGTAAGAAATACTAAAACACACTTCCTTAGTATGACTTTAATGCATACTCAAGGACTCTGAAGAACTTTCCCCTTCTATAATATGAAGCCACGCTGTTTATTCTGTTTTCCTGGCATTTGAAGATCTTTCAAATATAGCCCTTACTTACCACTCAAATAAATGCTCCCCAGTAAAAACCCTTCAGTATTGCTGGCCTCTTCAAAGACTTCCAAATGTATGGCACAGCAGCCTCTCCTATCTGCAAGCCTTCCCAGCTGATACGTGAAACTCTGCACAGTACCGAACCCTACATACACTATGTTTTTCCTACCTACATCTAAATGACAGACTCTAACCCTCTCCCATAAGGAAAGCACTTTCCGACCTCTCTTGGGCAGATGTGAATGGCTAGCACTCGTGTGCTTTGTAGCAAAGCCAGGGCTACCTGCATATAACAACGTGACACTGCCATAGCTGATCTAACAACCAACCCAGCCGCTAAGGGACTGACTGGTGAAAAACATATACAGCCTGGGTACATCAGAAAAGAATACTTCACACCCTGGCAGAGGCTCAGCATGCTGCATGCAACTTGAAAATTATTTATATTTCTGAAATTTGGTATTTGCAGGTTGCGCTTGATCACAGGTAACTGAAGTCAAAAATGCAACCGACCAAGGGGAGGGAACATTGCTGGATTCTTCTCCAAGCTTTGTTCTTGTTGCTTGTTTCTGCTATGGAAGAACTGCCAGTCTGACTGGACTCCAGCTTTTTCGAGCCTACCATAAGTCTGTAAAACGTGTCCCACAATTGAGGCCCGGCACGGTGGCGCAAGTGGTTAAGGTCCTCGCCTAGCATGCCCGGGATCCCATATGGGCGCCGGTTCTAGTCCCGGCAGCCCCGCTTCCTTTCCAGCTCCCTGCCTGTGGCCTGGGAAAGCAGTCGAGGACAGCCCAAAGCTTTGGGAACCTGCACCCGCGTGGGAGACCCGGAAGAGGCTCCTGGCTTCGGATCAGCATAGCATCGGCCCGTTGCGCTCACTTGGGGAGTGAATCATCGGATGGAAGATCTTCCTCTCTGTCTCTCCTCTCTGTATATCCGCCTTTCCAATCAAAAAATAATAAAAATAAATCTTAAAAAAAAAATGTGTCCCACAATTGACAAGAATTAATTTTTACCAGAATAGCCCAAACACAGGTATACAAGTGTATTTCCATATGGGTTTTTGCACAGGACACATAAACTTACAACAGTGCTCTTCTAGAAAGCCACTATTTACTAGAGAACTATCTGTTGTCTGTTTCATTGAAGCTTTTTTTTTTTTTTTTACTTATTTTATTGGAAAGTAAGATTTACAGAGAGAAGGAGATTAAGAGAGAAAGATCTTCCGTCCGTTGGTTTACTCCCCAGGTAGTCCCAACAGCAGGAGCTGAACCAATCTGAAGCTAGGAGTCAAGAGCCTCTTCCAGGTCTCCCACATGGGTGCAGGGTCCCAAGGCTTTGGACCGTCCTTGACTGCTTTCCCAAGCCACAGCAGGGAGCTGGAAGGGAAGTGGAGCCGCCGGAATACGAACTGGCACTCGTATGGGATCCTGGCAGTTGCAAGGCAAGGATTTAACCACTAGGCTACTGTGCTGGGCTCTGAGACTCCTTTTTTTCTTCAATATATTGTAATGCAAACTTGTCTTTAAGATGCAATATTGAGTTAATCTGTGATGAATTTTGCAAGTGCTAGCTCATGTATGGTCATGTCTTAGAATAATTTAAATGATAAAATTAATAAAATTTATGGATTAAAAGATCTGAAAACAATGAAAAGTGGAAAGAAGAAATTGTGGGTGTACTGATCTTAGCTACACAGACATTATCTGTTGTTTGCATTCTTGAGTACCTTTCTCCTAATTAAAAAAAAAAAACTTTCAACCAATATACAAGTTAGGGAATACGCAATGAACATCCACATGCCACTCCGATGTGAAATCCTCCTGGTACTATTGTTGCCAAGTTGGCCTGCATGCCATGTCTACATGGATGCACATACACTTTTTAAGATCCAAATTAAAGTTGTGAGAATTGTATTTAGACTCTAAGCACGGACAGCCAGTCCCCGTCCCATCTTTTGCATTTTCCTCAACACTGTCCTTTGTGGAGTGGCCAGAATACACGCACGCGGCTGCTCTTTCACTCTCGTTCACAGTGGGATGCCTGCGTTTTTACAATGCCAGGGGAGCAGCACAGAAACCATTCTTTATCTACTCCCTTTTTCTTTTGGCCAAAACATTCTTCTTAGCACTCTTCACTCAATATTACATCTGCAACCCTTTACCTATTACCAAATATTCTTTGTAGATACTGCAGTGGCTGCCAATATTCCCTTTATGTACAACAGATTACTTAACACAGAAGATGTGCTTGATTTTTGGCTATTTTTATTAATATCACAATGAAAATATGAATGGTAAGATTACCTCCTAATCTAAATGTTAGCCCCTATATATTACTTAAACAACGTACTTTGTCAGCGGCTATGGTAATATCACCTACTTGGCAAAGTTGGCCAGGTTCTGGATGACCTTGGCAATCAGTGTAAGCGTCCGAGAGGTGCGGTCGTCAGGATACTCCTGCATGAGGTTGAAAAGGCTGGGAGACATGATGGCTGGGCACAGGAAGCGCAGGAACAACGAGGCACTGATGAGTCGCTCACTGATGTCCTGCTTGCCACGGTTCAGGCACTGCTGCTTCCATGACGCGAACACTTCTTTCAATTCTCGGGGGAAAACACTGGAGAAGGGAAAAAAATACCCCAACCCCGTAAGCGTAAAGTACCAAACCCCAGGCAGCACAAAGGATGCCACCTGACCCACCCACCTTCGCCCTGGAGCCAAACTCTGAGGACCCAGCAGACCCAGGAGGGCAGCTCTGCCTGGTCCACGCCTAGGAGGTGGGAGCAAGTTCACAGGGGCCAGATGGAGGCGGAGAGCCCAAAGCTATAAAACTCTGCGTTAGTGCAAAAGTAATCTTGCCCAGTTAAAAAAAAAATGACACAAGGCTCCTGACTAACCAATTTGGTTTAATATAGCTCACTATAGTCTCCAAATATTCTTCATCAAAAAACCTTCTAAAACCTCACCAATTGCTGGAATAGGAGAAATGACCAAAATTCATGACACAGCTATTGAACACCAGACAATATTTTAGAAAGCCAGAAAAATGATTTTGCTATTAGGGGACACAGTTCCAATATTCTTGGAAAGATTAATATATACGTATCAGCAATTCTTTTTTCAATGGAGATCTAGATTTTAAACAAAACTGTGTTAGGGGAACTTTTAGCTTTTGGTTGAGAAATAACACTGCAATGATGCTTATGTGGAAAAGAGTGCAGCTGGATTAAGCAGGGATGAAGCACAGGTGCCAGCCCACCAGTAGGAGTTGATGATCTTGCAGAAAGCCAGCTCACAGCACATCTTCAGGTTGCTCTGATGATCTATTAGCTCGCTGGAGGAACACTTGCTGGGATCCACTTCACAGTTCTCATCCGACTCATACAATGCTTTGATGAACTCCCCTATTGAAGGAGAAGATGAGAAATAGTACAACTATAATTACAATGTTTTCCAGAAAGAAGACAGAGATCTCGGATTTCTCTCCAAAATGCATATTGGGGAATTGTTTTCACAGAATAATATGGAGGGCAGAAAGGACTGCCCATGAAAGGTCATTGCTGCAGAACCCAAGCATTAGGCCATCTCATATATCAATAGGTTTATTTTCCTTATCCTGGAAGAGGAATAATGGTCACCATTAAAATGATCATCACAGTAGTTATAAAAAAATCATAACAATATGACTATAAGCAATGCAGTACTATTTATATGAAACTTACAAACGTGTTTAATTACCACAAACTTGCTATTAGTTATAGGGATTTCTCTTCCAGAGTGACTAATGTTTTCATTATTCGAGAACATGTACCCAGGCCCAATTGAACTGACACCTAAGCTTTTTTTTTTTTTTAAAGAATTATTTATTTTTCTTGGGAAGGCAGATCAGATTTATGGAGAAAAGGAGAGACAGAGAGAAAGATCTTCTATCTACTGACTCACTCCCCAAATGGTTGCAACTGCCAAAATTGAGCTGACCTGAAGCCAGGAGTCAGGAGCTTCTTCTTGGTCTCCAATGCAGGTACAAGAGTCCCAAGGCTTTGGGCTGTCCCCTGCTGCTTTCCCAGGCCACAGCAGGGAGCTGGATGGGAAGTGGGGCAGCAGGACATGAACCGGTGCCCATGGGATCCTAGCACTTGCAAAGTGGGGATTTAGCCCTTGAGCCATTGCACCTGACTTGACACCTAGGATTTTCAGTTGGTTGCTAATGTTGGTGCCAAAACTAGAATCAAGTGAGTGTCTCTGGACTTACTTCTCATGATGGGGACATGCATCCAATCATGTACAAAACTGTTTCAGAAAATCTCTTTGTACAAACCACACGTGCTTGTCAATATAAGTCGGGAAAGCTCCCCTGCTGGGTTAAGTGAGTAAAGCCACCATGTGGGGTTCCAGCATTCACATGGTGTTGCTTCAAGTCTCAGTCACTGCACTTCTGACTGCGCTCCTGCTAATGTGCTAATGTTCAAGCTTCAGTTGTTTTATTTGTAAAACAGTGCTAATAAGATCCAACTGGCACTGTTGTGGTGATGACTGGAAATTACACATGAAAAGCATCCAATATTGCGCAAGGCATTTACCAGGACTCCACAAAAAAAGTATGGTTTCACATAAGCTAAGCAACTTTAAAATAATTTTCATGGAATGAAATGGCCAAAACTAGGATACTTTAAACAACGTCACCAATTCTTCCAAGACACTTATCTTCAAGATGTTCTCCATATCTCCTATCCTATGTGGCTCTACAAAATCTACATTTAAAAGGCACTTGAATCCAAAACAAAGCAATCAGTGTCAAATGTCCCATGTAAAACTGGCCGAACAGAGTAATAAATACCCCTGTGGTACAGTCCTTTAAGCCTCCACTTGGGGTGACGCCTTACGTATCACAGTGTCGACTGCAGTCCTGACTGATCCGCTTGCACCCAGCTTCCTGCTACGCACCCAGGAAGCAGCTGAGCACGGCCCGCGTGCTGTCTCCCGTCACCCACCGAGGAGACCTGGACAGCATTCCAGGCTCCTGGTCTTCGCCTAGGTCAGCTCTGACTGTGGGGGACAGTTGGGGAGTTGACCAGTGGATGTAAGATCTTTCACTCTCTCTGTCACTCCGTCTCTGTCTGGCATTGTGCTTTTCATATAAAACTAACCAAAAAACTTAAGATTGTGATGTAAACAATATTAAACACAAAATTAAAAATTAAGAAACAAAGAAAACAATTCTGTTCAGTGACTTAAGTTATATCTGTTTTAGGAAACAACAAAAATATTAATGAATAACATGGACATCAACAATATTAGAAATTTTTTTTTCAAGAAAAGAGCCAGATAAATCTCTGTAGGGCTCAGAAGTAAAGCAGCTGTGTATGCTGTCAACTAAAATTGTTTCTCCCTGATTATATTTTAAATTCTCCAAAACAGACAAAATTATGTTCACTTCTGAAACCACAATAATTTACATCTGACAACAGAGAACGTATCATTATCAAGAAATGAAATGTTTATAAATGTGAATGTAGGGGGGGCTTATCTGATCAAAATGATCGAGACTGATTCAAAACTCACTGTAGCTGTTCTCTTGCCTTTGAAAAACGCTCGCCCGGAAGGAGGCGCTCAGTGAGCTGTTCAGATGCAGTCTAGCCAGAGTTCTGATGTGCTCCCTGTAAGTCATTAGTGATTACCACCTTACATTAAAACTTCACGAGTAGTGCTAACTTCCCTGGCACTGACGTACTCCTGCCAGGTGTTGGTGCCCACCAAGGGTGGGTGGAAATGAGGTCCGTTCAGGGACTTCCTTTCTGTATCTTACAGATGGTATTTCCTGTGTGTCACAGACATCAACATGCAATCTGATCTCCATCTGATAGGTAACAGGAGCTAACAGATGGAAGACTTAAATCTAAAATTTGAGCTAGTGCTATTGAAAGAAGTGAAGCTTTCATCAAAATACATCCAGACTGACAATTCTGAAAACCAATTCTTTTTGGAAAATTCTACAGGTAGTTTGGGAATAGCATCTATTTTTTGTCTCAAATATTTGAAACACAGTAACATTTTAATGGGAAGAAGCTTACCAGTGAGCTCAGCTCATGCTCTTGAAGCAGCAACCTTTTTCATCACCTTGCCCCTTGTTCTCAGATTACAGTTATGATTGCAGAGTTCTGGAATTTCATTCCACGCTTGTGGAACTAATTTTTCATTCCAATCAGCTATTTTGAAGCTGTTCTATGAAATGATGTTCATTTTGGAAGTTATTTCATCTAGCACTCTGAATTTTAGAATATGACTAATAGATTTTAGAGAATTAGGTGACCAATGGTACTCATCTCCTCACACAGAATAGAGGATAAAGAGCCATAGTTGAGTCACTTCACTGCTAGCATTTACAGATAACGCAAATCAGTAAAGCAAGTCACAATTTTTGGCTATAAAAAGTTCCTTCATGTAAATGAAACCCCGAATATCCCTGCAGCTTTCCTGATGTCAATGGAGATCTGCTTTCACTATTTTCTCAAAAATTACCATTTGATATTAAATATTTCTGATAAATTTATTTCCATTTTATTTGAAAGGAAAAGAAGCAGGGAAGGGAGATCTGCAGGTGCACTCCCCAGATGGCCTCCAGAGCCAGGGCTGGGCCTGCAGAAGCCAGGAACCTGGAGCTCAATGCAGGTGTTTCCTGTGTGTGGCAGGGACCCAAGTACCTGAGCCATCACCTTCCAGATGTGCATGGCAGGAAGCTGAACTGAAGGTGAGAAGTCGCCACAAAGCAGGGTGTGTCCCGCACAGGAATTGAACCAGCATGCAAAATGCCCGACTCCCATTACGTCGTAAACTGGTGAGTCTATTGCATATGAACACAGTAGTCCCGTTTCTTGACCATCATTCAGTTTTTCCCTGGCTCCTTTTCTCCTCATGCCAGCTCCAGCTACCACTACTGACGTCTAACTTGGCCAGTGCAGCCACTGCTGCTGCTGCAGTGCTTTATTTTCTGCAGTATTTTCTGATCTTCTCTTCTCTCCTGGTTTCTAGGATTCAGTGTTTTTCTGGTTTTTGGATCACTCCTGATTCGTTTTCTTCCTACTCTACCATAAACCCAGGTGCACTGTAAAGTCTGCCTTCAGTTCTATTTTCTCAGTCTTTTAACAATTGCACAGCTTTGTTGAAACCCTCCACATGGGTAAGCTGGTTTCCTTAGAGCTTTTCTACCTCTAACCCTTGAGATTTCCAATTAGAACTTAACCAAAGTATACCTGAGGTGGAAATAGAATTTCCCCTCTTTTAAGCTTACTTCCTCTATGACTTGCATTTCGGTTAAGAATCTCATTACCCTTCCAGTAACCCAGAGACCAGCACTCTCCGCACCATCTGATCCTTCTACCCTTCCCACAAACTGGAAAAGGCGCCAAGTCCTATTAGATTGGTTGTTTCTTTGATACTGCTATATCCACCTTTCCCTCGATCCGTATTCAGACAGAGCCTCCTGACTTCCTGCCTCCTTATCACAACAGCTTCTAGCTGATCTCTGCTTGCATCTCTTCACCAATCTGCTAATGAATTATACCAATAACACCCTGCTAAAATCCCGTGGCTCTTGATTACTGTAAAATAAATCCTCAGCCAGGCATTCAAGGCTTTCAACAAACTGGTTCTACTTCTAAATCAACGCTGTTGTTGCGGCTGTTTGTCCTCTTCATGCCTTTTTTTTTTTTCAGGTGAAAGATTTTATTCCATACACGCCTGTTTTTCCCCCACCGCCATGCCTTTTTGTCCATGGGGTTCTCTGCTGCATGGTAGTCCCCACTGTGGCCTTTGTCCAATGTCTTTTCTCATGGAAGTCTTCTAGCCTTCATGAAATGCATACAACATATGTGCTGTTCACACAGGAAATTTTACAATTGGCTAGAATACATAATTTAATTGTTTTTAAAAATAGGATTTCTTTTTGATAAAAGGCCTGTCCTTATGTCTCTATATTGTAAGCTCCTCAGTGCAAAGACCTCTACAATCATTCAGTGACATTTCACTGATGATCTACTTCTAATGATCCTGTGTCACTGTTGAGCGTTAAAAATGGAAATAAAGTACATTAGGACAGCTAGTATAATGTAAAACACTGAGTTTTTTTAAAAAATAGTAGATTAAAATCAAACATTATATTTTTACATTATCAGTATATAGCATCTGCATTTATTGGATAAAATAAAATAGGTTATTAACTCTGATGTTTCTCTTTACCCTTTTTATACTATAACCACTGGAAAATTTAATTATTTCCATGTCGCTTATATTACATTTTTATTCGAAGCACTGCCTACATTCTGGGACAAGTACTGGGGCTACAGAGATAAAATGATCAGCTATTTGATTCAGGGAATTTATGTCTGCTGTATGACAATGTACATCAAGGTACCAGGCATGGCACCTGACTTAGTGGTTAATTTCTGAACATCATGATGAAACCTGGAGCTGCAAGTGAAGGACTTATTCAGCAAGACCTAATGATTGAACAAAAGCTAGTTACATAACGTTAAAGATTCTAGAGACCTTGAAGACAAATTTAGAGTTGTGGGAAAGGAAATAGTTTCTTTTTTGATTAGAGCTCTACATACATGACAATGTATGACAAACGTTGGGTTAACATTTTTAAGACAAATGTTAATACAGGAGTGTTTCAAAACATTCATGGAAAATAAAATTAAGTATGCTTCAAAGCAAAAAAAAAAAACCCAGTAAAATCCATGCATATGACAGGTCTTGTGGGAAAAGCATGATATGAAAAAAATTAGCCGAGGCTATAAAAAAATTTGTACACCAAAATCAACTTATCTTTTAATTCCATTTCCCAATGAGTCTTTTGATGTACTCTAGAATATTCATAACATAAGGTAAACAGCTAATTCTTTGGGGGAGACGGGCCACGTCAGGTCTAGTAATGAAAGCAGTGAATATTACTGTGCATTCAAGGTTTAGGGGCTTGGCTGAGTTGCTCTGTCCGCACACACTGTAACAAAGCAGTCCGTTCATTAGGCAGCACAGACGCTTCTAAAGATTGAAGCTCACACTTGGACCTCCTAGTCGCTTAGGATTCAGGCTCAGTTTGCTTGTCTCGTGGGAGTGGAATAAAAGTAAGAGGAGGAGAACAAAGAAGTGATTTTCTTTTCCATACCCAATGCATCATGCAGGTATTGCTGACCCACCAACTTGAGGTACTCCTCGATGGACTTGGTGGCGATGGTGTTCTCTCTGAAGATTAGGACATCGTGTTCTCCACATCGGTCCACCTCGGACATGACCAAGTCGGTGAGAAAATCCTGCCAGGATAATGTGCAGTCAGGCAGAGTGATTGAATAAATGCCGTGCATTAGGAGACTGAGGAGACACCAGAGACCCCGCACGTGCTGAACACTAAGGCTACAGATCTCTCTGCAAGAGCAGAAAGCCATCAGGATCAACTCGTGGGAGTCACCACCCTTAGGTTTAAAATTCCTCCCAAGACTTTTCATTGTACTTTTGATAAAGACCATAATTCTCGATGCAGCCTTCTACATTTTGTCTTGCCAGCCTTGACTTGTGCCAATCTTCGTGCACTCGGCTGCAGCCGCGGGGGCCTTCTGTTTAGATCCTGCGCTTCACACACCAAGCCCTTTCTAAAGAGAACGTTTTCTACTCACCACAAAGCTGCCTGGCAGTGCTATCCTCAGCTCTGCTACTCCTTCCTGTGCTCACCTCCACTGTCATGGAGCAAACTCCTGGGATCCTCTGGTCTTAGGTCACACTTCACTTCCTCAGCAGAGCCTTGCATGACCAGCCCTGGCCCGGAAGCACACCAGCCAGGACCCGTCCTCTGCACTCCTGCAGCAGCGTGCATCTTTTTATTTGTTGTGTGCCTCACAATAATCATGCAACTATTTTGTCAACTGACTGGCTAATACATATTTTCCTAACAACAAAAAAAAAAACCCTGCAAACTTTACAGGGCAAAAGAAGGTGTCGATTTTTGTATCTCCACCAGCTATCAGCATCTGGCATATGTCAGGTGTTCAATACATTATAGTTCTAAGTTAGTCCAAGATATTAACTTGGAACTTCTTGAACTTATTTTCTAGGCTGTTATTGTTTATGCACACTTTCAGGGAAAAGGGACACATAAAGAGACAACCTTGAAGAAAGCAGCTGCTTCCAGGCCCAGCACGATGGCCCAGCGGCTAAAGTCCTTACTTTGAACACACTGGGATCCCGTATGGGTGCTGGTTATTTTTAAAAAGATTTATATATTTTTATTGCAAAGTCAGATATATATATATATAAAAAGTCAGAGAGACAGAGAGAGAGAGAGAGAGAGAGAGACAGAGACAGAGAAAGAAGAGACAGAGAGGAAGATCTTCTGTCTGATGATTCACTCCCCAAGCAGCCACAACAGCCAGAGCTGTGCCAATCCGAAGCCAGGAGCTAGGAGCTTTTCCAGGTCTCCCACGCAGGTGCAGGGTCCCAAGTCTTTTGGCTGTCCTTGACTGCTTTCCCAGGCCACAAGCAGGGAGCTGGATGGGAAGCAGGGCAGCTGGTATTAAAACTGGTGCCCATATGGGATCCCAGTGCATTCAAGGCCAGGACTTCAGCTGCTAGGCCAACACCCCAGATCCCAGTTCTAATCCTGGCAGCTCCACTTTCCATTCAATTTCCTGGTTGTGGCCTGGAAAAGCAGTTGAGAATGATCCAAATCCTTGGGACCCTGCACCCGTATGGGAGACCCAGAAGTGGCTCCTGGTTCCTGGCTTTGGATTGGCTCAGCTCCAGCCATTGCAGCCACTTGGGGAGTAAACCACAGGAAGGATGGAAGATCTTCCTCTCTGGCTTTCCTTTAGAAAAATTGATGTAAAACGCAATGCCTTTTTGTTGTTCAGATTGAAATGTGATACTAACATATATCTTGAATGTGAATTTGTATACTGACGGGGTCTTTTAGGGACTGCCAAACCAAAAACAGCTGAAATATGATGAATTTTTCTTCGTAAAATTAAACATTATAAACAGTAAAGGGATTCACCTTGGGGCAGCTCAACAGAGTTGTGTGGACTTAGGAATCACCATAAAAACTTACGCTAAGAGGCAGAGCAAACTTTTGGGGGTTTTGGTAACATTCTATAACTCTTAGATGACAGCTTTAACGGGCCAAAACTCTGATCATTTCCACTATAAATGAATACAGTTTACTGTATATAGAATATAAGTCAATGACTACAAAACAAAAGCTTGTATGTATCCTGAATGTTGAGCAACTAAAAAGCAGATCGTAGTCATATAATTTTGAAGATGGGACTCAAAATTTCCATGGTACCTTAACTCAAACTCTAAGTTTTCTTATAGACAGAAAGCTTAAAAGTATAAGTAAATTAAGCACAATAATTGTAATCAAGAGAAGGTGATTAAGACTCATCATTACACATGTTGATATACCCTAATTAATGTCAGGAAATCTTAGGGGCGCCTTGTTTGGTGCTGTGAGCTCTCTAGATCTAAAGCACAACTGTAGCACGCCAGGCAGCTCCTTTTCTTTTCCCCTACCTTTCTGAATTTTTACTTCTATGCAGGAAAAACAAGATAAAACTGTCATGAGACATCAATTAAACAATATCGCTTGGTGTTTTAAATCCTAAACATTGAATTTAAACCCATGAGCTATGTTGCTAATCCCAAGTATGCCTCTTGAATAGCACCTTCTGTGCTCATGGGACATGGTCATCAGTAAAGCCTGCAATACACTGAGGGAAGAACCACCGAAGTGACAACAGAGTCCTGAACGTCCTGCAGGACTCATCACAGCAATCCTATCATTTACCAGACAACAAGAAGCCATCTGTGGCAGCTGTCATCCAGGCAAATGCACTTTACACAAACGCGTGTCGCCCCTCCACGCTCTTCAGTGTCTCACTCCCCACATCTTCTGTATCCAATTACTGCTAGTAAGTTGCCATCCTAATCCTCCTCCTTTTATTGGGCAATAGCAAAGCTCACTGCATTTGGATCTCCGCAGCACCCATGTTTTTCTTTCATCATACAAGGTGGTGAGAAGGGCTTTCAGGTAATGCAACCCTGCTTTTTCTACTCACCTTGGCTCTGCCAGTACTCTGCAGAATGTGCACTAAGGCACAAGCCAACTCCTCTTTATTTCTTACACTGATTACCGGCTCAAGGACGGAGCACAGCATGGTGTAGTTGCTGGTGACAAATTCTGCAAATTCTTTGTATTGCTCCATAGGCAGAATGGTGATGGTTTGGAAGCGTGATTTAATCCGAATGGAAGGTCCTCCTGTCTTTCCTTTGTTGGGGGTAGGTGTACTCACTGGGTACCACTTCTCTACAAACTGACGCCCAGTCACACTGGCAGTGGGAATGTTGACCAGCCCTACGTAATTATTCTTGTCCTTTTTTTTCTTTTTTTCCACATCCTTATAAATGTGAACTGTGATGCTATGAAGAGGTGGAAGGCTGTAGAATTCAAAATGTTCGCCCCAGAAAATATTGTCTGCTTTGGTCTTGCTAGTTGTACGAGCAAAGAGGGTATCATCAAGGCACAGTTCACAGAAATATTTCTTTTTCGGGGCAAGGTCCTTGGCTTCAATGATCCACAAACGGAGAACATTGTCAGCTCGTCTACAGTTGTCCTTTAAAGAGACAATAAACCTGAGTTTGAGAGATGAGATCCCAAAACACACATTCTCCTCCTAAAATGGGTGACGTGGATTATACGTTCTAATTGCAGACAAAGGGATTGCTATGTCACTGTTTAGAACAACAGTACACTTAACACAAGAATGTATCAGAATCTTAAGAGAGTTACATATACTCGATTTTACGTGAGTTATTAAACTAGCTCATAATGTTAAGTTTTCATGCAGCTGGCCCAGTGGCGACTAGACTAATTTCCACCAGGTACTAACTTGTGATTTGGACAGTCTTCTCTGAGTCTTCTTATCCATACTGATAAAACTATGATAATAATACTTGCAAGAAGGTTATGTTTATTACAAAATGGCATAACGTGTTGTGATTCAGAGCTCTAAAGCTGTGAAACAGTCAAGGTATCGTTACTACACTCACCTTGTTTGGTTGGACTGTCCTGCGCAGGTTCTCCATCCACTTGTCTCTCTCGGAAGCAGAGTTACAGCTGAAGCATTTACTTCCGCTCAAGTAGGTGACCTTCAACACAGGGGTCCGAGATGAGGAAAAGGATGCAGGTTTTGGGGGGAAGGGGGTCTGTCTTTCTTGTTCTATCATCTAAGAGGACATGGTACAAACCCAAATCATATTTCATGAAACTTGGTGATGGTGGCTGGTTCTCTAAGATCTCTCTTAAAGCTACAGCTGACTTTTGATTTGTTGTCTGAGTAGTGTCCACACTGATGTCCAAGATGAGAAGAAAAGCCATTTAGAAATCAGCTGAGCAACATGAAACTGGCCTACCTTTCACAAAAGTCAGAGTTAGAAACCTTTCAGCTACATCTTAAATTACCCACAAATGAATATGCTTGATTTTGTGTGAGTTAATAAAAAAATAACTAAAGGGCAAGAGAGTTTCTGGAATAGCTTATCAGATTTCTGCTTCTATTATAACATTATAGAAGGGTACAAAATGACACTGATGTGTTACTGGGTCGGAATTACTACCTTTAGAATCCATTTCTTCTCCATCAGGCAAACAGCTTGTTAGGTTAGCTTGACCTCTGTTACTGCTGTTCTTTTAAAATGAAACATCTTGTCTATCTGCCTAACATCTAACACTGGGCTTGGGATACAGCCTATTAAACTAAGTTCCACAAATAGGGAAACCTCAATTGATTTTTATCAAAAAAAAAAAGCAATGACGGTGCGGTTGTTGCTGTTTGCTCAGCCCTAGCTCCCTCTCAGGCCGTAACCGAGGGGACAGATGATGCGCGCTACCCAGCGCAGCTGCCGATGAGTATTTAGGGTAGGCCAAGGCCAAGTTGGAACATGCTTGGTTGTAAGCAGAACATACACATCAGATTCTGGAGATTTAGAAGAATGTCAAACGTCTCGTTGCGACTCTTGCGATTACACACAGAAATGACAGTAAGTGAATTTTCAAAAACCCCTTAAAGCTGCGGACATGGCAAGTGTTCTATTTCTTTTGTGTAGTGCTGGCCTTAATGGCAAAAGCCAAACATCTTTCACTTTCAGCAAATTCTAGCAGAGGACTTATTATTAGCCACTTATTTTGTTTTTATTAACTTATTAAATCCTAATGCTAGTAATTATATCTATATACTTATAAGAATAAAGCTATATATACACACATATATATTTAACTTAACTTGTAAAGAATCAATTGTATACATTAACTGTGGAGGATACACTATAAAAGTTACAGTCATGATTTTCTGGCAAAGGGCAATTTATTCATTCAAGTGATTGGTTACCTGTGATGCAAATTCAGGATATCACAAAAATGAATAAAACATGGTTCCAGATCTTTAATTCATATTGCAGTTAGAAAAACTATGGTTTGTTCAACTTTCATTAATAAAAAAATTAAAATTGAGAACTTCAGGATTTTAGGAGCAAAATGGTAATACAGTCGGGAACATCCTTGTCAATACACTGAGCTAATAAGTTACCATTCGTCTCATGACCTTTGCTGGGAATGTACTGGGTATCTAATCTATTTGTTCCAGGAAGCAAACAAGGCCAAAAGCAATGAGATGGTATAATTAATTAATCATTTAAATTACAAGTATAATTAGGTTAATAGATTTCTAACTTCCTCCCTATAAATAGGTAATTTCATCAAGTAAAAAACACATATGATAATTGAATAACCTATAACCCCAGCAATGAAATCACAGAATTACTAGATAGAAAAATCTTGTCAATTAACTGCTCTTCTTACACTGTTTTTAAGGTCCTTATCTCTCTTACCTCAAAGCAGAAGTCTTGTCCAAGGATGCTACTGTGGAGAGGTTTCACTGACACAGGCTCTCCTCTACCAAGATCTAGACATTCTACGGCACTGCACGGGCTCAGCAAGGACTCGTGGGATCGCGATTCCTTCAGCTTAGGCAGCCCACGAGACCTAAAGGTAGGGACAGACAGCTGAGATGGTGTAACTCTGGCTAACAAGGAAATGAAAGAGAAATGCAATCAAGGCTAGAAGCAAGTGTACAAGCATCTAAGGGGAAAAACAGAGAAGAACTTAACTGTTAAATACGTAATTGTAGGCTCAGCCATACAGCGATACAAATTATACAAGGTTATATGGACACATATGTACATAAAAGTACCACATACACATATACACCTTTCTCAATAAAGTATAAAAACATATCACAATTTTACTAGTCTCAAGAGAACTCAAAGCTCCACCACAGACATTGTTTACATCCTCATTCTGATCTTGGAAAAAAGAAAAATATATACCACTCAAGGCTGGCAAATACACTCTTATGCAAATACACTGTTATTCTACAATTGACAAAGTTGTAGTTGCCGAATCCTAATTTTGTGCCTTTCTGTCTTGGCAGAATCAACATACACATATACACATACAGAGTCAAAGCCAAACGTTGAGTACCAGATCCTGCCTTTCAAAAGGCCTAATTTCCATCTCAATGCAGAATTCTTTCCTGGTAAGATTTTACTTTTATCTATGCTTTACTGTGTAAATGTGAATAAAGAATAGAATACCTTCAGGAGCCCTCCCACCATGAAAAAACTGCCCACAGTCTCCTGGCAATGAGCAGGTCTTTGTTAGCACTGTTCAGGCAGCCTGGCTGGTTCTGTTTCCTAGTTGCTTTAAAAAGAATGTTCAGAATCATAATTCTTGTCACTGCAGGAACCAGGACTTCACCTGCCTTCTTCTTGAAAAAAAATTAATGGCCTCAAACAACGCAAAGCATAGTATTCCTGAATCCAGAACTGGATGACCACACAATTTTACTCGATAATTATAGTATTTATTGAGTCAAATACCAGAGTTAATTATATATATTTCGAGTAGGAGTACTTAGTAATAAGGAGAAGAAGAAACGCCCGTGTTAAGACATTTGTTTTTGTAAATCACATTAAATAAGCAGCCACATTCATTTCCCTGAAATAACCACGTTAACATTAAAAGGAAGTGAAACACTTAATGCCAGAGTCTCTTTTAGCCAAATTATAAAGTGATGAGCTGTAGGAAGCTGGCACCACAGGCTGCTAGCTGTCCCCTCTCCAAAAGTGTTAAATCAAGAGGCAAAAAACCAAACATCTTAATCAGGTAAGAATTCGAATCCACTGTTTACATATAAGCACACACACAGGCAGCCATTTCCAGGTTAGGCGGAAGACTGTGTTGTGATATTCATTAACTTGGACTGTAAGAAAAGCAGTATTTATATTTCCTACTAATAATACAAAGCATGCACAAAAAGGGCAAACGTCATCTAATGGCTTGTACGTAAGAATGTCAGTTTCCCATTTATTTTCCTTTGTTCTACTGGATAAGACAACAGCATGTTACAGATTGCAAATGGAGCATACCAAGTATGAATAATCATAAAATACTTTTAAACTCAGCATCATCATAAACCTTTCCCAGCATGAGGCACTGGAAGATTGGCTGAGGGGATGGGACACTGTAATTTTCATAGATACAACACAATGTTTTTATGGCACCCTTGGGTCCCCTTCCTCTACCACCACCTCACCCAGGAGCTGGAAAGATCAAAGCATATGTGAAACAGGACGAGGGATGGTAAAAGGCTTTTACTTTAAAAATTCTCTAGGAAATTTTTCAAAAACATAAATCAATTTTATTTCAAGCAAAATAAATGTCTACCTACATGAAGCAATTGTACAGCCACCTGGCAGTGCAAGCCCAAAGCATAGCCGCGGCACAGGCGCCGGGGCGCTGAGGCCCTTTCTGAGTGACTGCTCAGAGGACGGCAGCCAATGGAAGGCACCTGATGCCGCCTGCCGTCACTGATGACATCTCTGGACAGAAGCTTGCCAGGTGCTACTGCAAGTCTTCAACAGGAGCAGGACAGAAACACCCACCACAGCACAGGAAGGCATCCCGCCCCACACCCAGGCTGCAGGACAGGGAATAGGCGTTCTCTTCCCTCAGGTAACACAAACAAGGTTCCTGGGCTCTAGGCTGGGCTTGTTGCCATGGTGCTACACCTGTAAGGAGATTAGAGCTGGAAAGCAGCGGGGAGAGGCTGCGGCTGGGCTCCCAGGGCTCACCCTTCGAGCACCCTTCGCCAGAGCCGCCAAGGTGCAGGACTTAAGACAGGGAATGGAGAGGACCCACTGGCACGAGCAAGTTTGCAGCAGAGAAACTGAGGCAACTGGGGATGGAGAAGCTTTAGCTTTGTCCATCAACAATTCCCATTCCTGATAGAAACTGTTTTCTACATTCCCTCTTCCCATTTTTTCCCATGCTGGTTCTACCTGCTTTGTGCTGCGCACCCTAGCTTAATGTGTCTAGGTATTACATAGACACAGCGTACTGGTTTTTTTCTCTTAGAGAAAGCTGGATGAATTTTTTTTCTTTTTTTAACCTGCATGACTAAATTTCACTGATACTCAGTTTAACTCCCAAGTGCAGCCATAAATATCCGAACCAAGTTATCCGGAATTACAACTCCACACTATTCTACTTATTGAAACTGGATTACTAATATAAATGCAGATCTGCCAACTGTCCAGCATTTTTATGTATATTTCTTTTTTCAAAAAATCTGAACTGGAAACCAAAATAATGCTTTGCTCAACATTACTATTGGATAAATAAGCAAGTTCTTCTGTATTGGGAAGACAATCTCAGAGAGAAGACAGAATTAATTCCCAGGGAAGCAAGATTACAGTAGAGAAGATCAACAGCCTGGCAATGAGGGAGGCATTATCTGTATAAATACTGCGATGGCGCCACTAGCAGCTCTAAGCTCTCTCTAAAGCATGTTCATTGCTCCTGTATCTCCATATGAATTGATTTTTCTTAGAGACACTAACTATAGTTTCTGCAGTGCTCTGTGGCATTACAGTTTACACCTGTAGTGGAAAGAAGAATGTGAATTTATTGGTAGAGTAACAACTTAAAAAGTTATTCCAGGTCCAATCTGAAAATGGCCTTCATCAAATGGACATGCTGGTCCAGGCTTTCAAGTGGACATGGTGAGTCACTTGAGGCTGGACGCATTCCCAATCACTCCAGAGGACTCAGGGCTCCGCTACGACCATCCCTGGATTTATCCGGGAAACTGCCTGCCAGTGGTAAATTTTGCTTGTAATGAAGGAACATCATATTCTTTACATTTTTGTGTCAAGGTCAGCAGACAACCTTGCTGTGTAAATCCAAGACTTACCAACCCGAGGGGATAGAGTTAACAACCTAACTGCTGTGCGGGTGAGGGCTACCTGCAGCTCCTGACCCACTTCCCAGCTGACCTGCCAGGCTGAAGAGGCTTCCCTTTCTCATCACAAAGAGTATTATCTCCCTCTAGCCCTTATCCCTGGCTGAAATCACTTTTAAAAGATGAACGGGAAGGGCTGGGGGATGGGGAAGCTACCAACACAACAGCTGATACCAAAGGAAGAAAACAGAACTCAGTGCAGTTTCAAGAGAAGCTCGGCTGCAGTTTCTCAGCTTAACCATCCAGTTTTTTAAAGCCGCATTTCCCCACGGTGTCGATGATGCCTGGATGTGCTAGCTCAATCTGCTGCAGATTCAGTTCCAAATTTAGGAATTGGGAAGCTTTTAATTAAAAACGCCTCTTGCTCCACAGAGTCTCGGACTTCTGTGCAGGTGAGTTTCTGCTTGGCTTGCAGTTAGGTTTCTGGATGGCCTCACTGAAGCCTCAGCCAGCTCAGCCAGCTCAGCCAGCAGCGGGCCCCTGTGCCAGGATCCCCTTGTCCGTATCCCTAAGGTGCTTACCAGGCTCGCATTGCAGCACAGGCACCAAAGATGGAACTGACGTGCTTACTCAGATTGAAAGCTTCTTCAGTATCAATGAACAAAATTCAGCAACCCAATACTTCACTAATGAGTTCTCATAGCATCTTTTTCTTCTTTTTTTTTTTAACTGCATCTGAAATCACACTTTAGGAAAAAGGTAGTTCTACCTGTTTCCCAGATTTTGGTGTTTTCCAATCAGGTGCTTCAGAAAATAGTCCACACTTATCTATTTGAAAACACAGATCCTTTTCTGCATTCTAGTTGTAAAGGTTCGCCTCTCTGGATTACAGAAGAAATCATAGCTCGTTCACGAGAGTTCTCCTGGGCTAAAAATGTGTCCTGCCTGCCCTCCCCCCCATCCCAACAACCCCATTGTCCTCCCCTCCACCCCCCAGGATCCTGACGGCTCCACTGTCCCCACTGTCCTCCCCCGAGGATCTGGACTGCCCCACTGCCCTGGTTTACATGTAGGCTGCTGAGGAAGCCAGTCTCTGCTGCTTATATTGACTCTCTGGTTTTTATGTTAGCTGAAAAACACACAACACACAACCACTCACACTGAAAGGCGAGTCGTGGAAATGTACACTGCACACCATCGCTCTCCTGATAGGATGGTCTAACGAAGCCAGCACTGGTGACAAAAAGGGGAATTGTCAACCTGAGTTTCATTTTAAATGAAGAAACTCATGGTAAGGAAAATTATCATCACAGACAAACATGACACCCACATCTACTCTGGTGCAGGTACTTCAAAATAAAAAATTAAAGTGTTTTTGGTTGAAAAAAAAACCACTCATGCATACAGAGGATCTTCAAAGCTTCACAGAAAAGCCATATAATGAAAAAAACTACGCATGGATTTCAATTTTTTTTTTTTGCATCAAAAATACATTTATCTTTAGTTTCAACTGCCATGAACTTTTACGTATCCTGATGCATCAATTCAGGCAATGAAGGTAGACACCGAAGGAAGAAGAGACTAATTTTAAAATATATTCAAAGGTGGGGACAGAATGTTCACCTTTCCTCAAGTATGACAACAGGGAATGATCTTATAGAAACAATATCACATGAAAACACATCTTTGTTATTAAGTTACAAATAGAATAAAATCTGCTGATGCCCATTCAAGAAATAAATTTGAACAATTATACTGAATCTAAAAAATGGGAATAAAACCACACTCATAATCCAACTCAATGAACCTACTTGCCAGCTGAAGAGTGAGTGTATGGAGCAGGTGTTTGGCACGGGCCATGAAGTTGCCACCTGAGATGATTGCATCTCATACTAGAATCCTCCATTGGAGCCCTTGCTCCCCCTGCAGCCTGGCACTCCTGTGGACAGATTCTGGGAAGGCAGCAGATGAGAGTTCCGGTACCTGAACCCCTGCCATTCAGGTGGGGACCCAAACGCAGCTCTCGGTTCCTGGCTCTGGCCTGGCCTGGCCCAGGCTATTCTGGGCATTTTGGGAGTGAACCAGCAGATGGACAATCTCTCCCCCTCCCATGTTTGTTTCCTTTCCAAATAAAATGAAAGTAAATGGGAATCACACGGGATGGAACTGAGGGCAGCAGCCTGGGCTGATCATGGCTACAACTTCCTTCAGCACAAGTGTGGACTGGGTCTAGGGAGCGCAAGACTGGGCTAGACTCCAAAACCCACAGGTACTCATGAGAGCCAGGGTGGGTGTAGAACAGGCAGGGCTAGATCTTGACATTGCTCAACCATGTGAAAGCTGTGTCTGGGCACGGACCAGGTGTGGCTCGTCTGCAACACCCAACAGTAAGAACCAGAATGGGTGTGGGCTGATTGAGCAAGGCCAGGACAAGAGCTGGACTAAGTCAGCCTGGGCCGAGGACCCACTGGTGTGTGTAAGATCTGCCACTGGGAGGACCTGATAGAGCAGCTTGGGGAACTTCTTTGTAGGATGCAGTCCATGCAGGTGAGCACAAGAATCAAGTTAAGGAGCAGCCCTGACCATGCCAGGTTAGTGTATCCCCCAGCATGCATGCAGGTCAGGTCTGGGGACAAACCAGGCTGGGCCAGTTCATAACATCCACTAGCAGACTGGAGAATCAGGACAGTGCTGGAGGGGCCAGGTTAGGCCGCAACACCAGCCTGTTGATTTTAGGGCTGGGACAGGGTTCTGGCTGAACTGGGCTAGGCTGCAGGCACACACCAGCAGGAGCTGGAATGAGCCAGGCTGCACAACACGATAGTGGATGCTGAGGTGAGGCTGCCATGCCAGTGTGGGGTCAGTGGGTGCCTGGCTCATGAGCCCCAGCGGCAGGGGATCTGGCAGGTTGGGTCACCTGGCCTGGATCCTGGGGCCTGCCTACGACATGGGTGCTTGGTTTGTGAGCCCTGGGTGCAGAGGATCCAGTGGGGCTTGGGTCACCTGGCCTGTGTGCTGGGGCCTGCCTGTGAGGTGAGTGCCGGGTTTGTGAGTCCCAGGGGTGGAGGATCCAGAGGGGCTTGGTTTGCCTGGCCCTTGTCCTTGGACCTGCCTGCAAGTGAAAAGGGTAGAGCAGTGGATGCAGACCCTGATGCACATGGAGAATATGGCAGCCCATTTGGTACTGTCGCAGAGGAAGGAGAACAGAGCAAACTGGACAACTGCAGCAAATAATGACAGCAAACATCTGGGTTAATGGAGACATGAGGTTGACTATGTCAGCCAATGGACACTGGGAGGACTGCCTCACCCTGGGACTGGCGAAATCGACAGTATTTCAGAACTATCCAAACCACTTGGGCAGAACCCTTGGAACATGCACTACATCGAGATTCTGGGTTGATATCGGGTGGCGGTTCCCCATCCTTGGGCACTGGGACACTTAGGAGGTTGGGTGCAGTTTCCGCCTTTATCTCACCCCTTCTCCCAGACAAGAAGACACGGAGAATTTGGAAACAATGATTTCACCCACTTTTTCCTAACCCTCAATACTTCCCACTCTGATCAACCATGTAACCATCATCAAAAATAAAAATTAATGGCTTTTAGGGTTAGGGATGGTGTGGAGAGGTAAGTATGATGGCAAGGGAATTGTTTCTGGTAAAAGAACACTTCTTTAGCTTGACTATGGCTGTGGTTTCACGAATCTATACATAAGATTAGGTTGCTAGAATGCTGACTATACAAAAACAGAGAATGAGGGCATGAATTACTATACCAAAGTCAATTACCTGGTTTTATAGATTTTTGTTAAGGTTTTATTGTTGTTGTTATTTTAAATTTGAGAGGCAGCGAGGAACAGAGCCCAAGATAGAGACAGACAGAAATACCTCCCATTCCTGGGTTCACTGCTGAGCCCACAGCCAGTGTTCCGTCAGCCCAAAGCTGGGAGCCAGGAATTCAATGTGGCCCCTCCACATGGGTGGCACCGACCCCAAGCACCTGAGCCATCATCTGCTTATGGTGCATATCAGCAGGAAGATGAAATCAGAAGTAGAATAAGAACTTGAACTCAGGAACACTGACACGGCCATAAATGGGCATCTTAACTAAGTCCAAAGCTGACCCCAAACACCCACCCCTTCTATGTTGTAGTTATAAGTTGTTACTATTGGTTGAAAGAAGAATCTGAATGACCTAATACACTGTTTTTGCAACTTCCTGGGAATATATACTTTTAAAATAAATTTTAAAAATTCTAATGAGAAAAAACTCAAGAGATGATTAGATTGTTCCAGAAATTCCTTTTCCAGATGAACACCACACCTTCAGGTATCTCCTTACTTTAAAACCATCCTTTGTAAGTGAACCTCAGGACTGAAGATATTTTTATGAAGGTTTTCATTTGAGGGGCTTAAGAAGGAGTGAGAAATGCTATTATCTACACTGTGCTGGTAACTTTAAGTAGCATTCCCAAAGCGAGGTTAGCAAGCTGATAGGCCTTTGGCATCCTGGAAAGCAATACGGCCATTGTTCTAGTTTTCAGTCCATTTAAACCATACACTGAACTACCGGAGTCTTCTGATGTCCAGCACCCTCCCATATGATGTGACTTGAACGTGAAAATGTTGCCAATATTGATTCTGGGAAATCACTTCACTGGCTTTTATCTGATTAGATGACTTTGGAACAATGATGACTTTGTGACATTCTATTGATTTGTCCTCCAAAATGATCCTATCTTATCTCTGCCTCCCCACCCCCACTGCCAGTATCCTCCTTAGAACCTTCTTTATGTCTTATAATAGCTTTCTAATAACTTTCAAACTTAGTCTCTGAAACTAAGTCATCTGAAATTGTTTGCATTCAATTCTGAGTAGGTCATGTTCTTATTAAAAAAATGTTTAAGGGTTTATGCTTATTACAGGCTAAAATCCAAACTCTTTAGTCTAACAGGCAAGAACTGGCCTGGGTATGGAATATTTAGTTGAAAATAATTTGCATTTGTAATTTTCAAGACATTGCTTCACTGACTTCTGAGAATTCCAATTCTGCTATTCCGTCCCCGAGCCAAGCAAACACCATTTACACACACTCCTCTGCTGCAATCTAGTCTTTTAGAGTGGCAGGGAGAAAAGTGAGAGAGGATGAATGTTATGCACTTGTTCACTCCCCCAAAGCCCACAAGAGCCAGGGCTGAGTCGGACTGAAACTGGGAGTTAGGCATTCAGTTGGAGTCTCCCCAGGGGATGGCAGGGTCCCAACCACCTGAACCATTACTGCGGAGTTTCAGGGCTCAAATCACCTCATTCAGTTTTTGTTTGAGAGGCAGAGAAAGTCAGAGATTGATTTTCTCTCTCCTGGCTAACTTCCAAATTCAATCTAGACCTCCTGCGCCCAAGTAGCTGAGCCATTACTTGTCGTCTTCCAGGGTGTGTAACAGGTGGAATTGGGGGCAGACTTGGGATTCAAACCCAGATAACTCTAATTTGGCAGACTGGCATCCCAAAGGTGTTATCACTGTTATGCCAAATATTTACTTGTAGATATTTATACAGGCCTGAAAATATATGAAGAATTAACATGACTATTTATGTGGGAGCATGGAGAGGACAAAAGGCAGCTACAGTATCGAGGATTATTATAAGTTAAGTCTACATTTAAAGAGCCTGTCACATAGGAAGTACTAAATAAAACAGTGTCCGTGATGATATGCTCATACGGTAAGAACCACTTCCCAAATTCTGACGATTATGAAACCTGAAATAGTGACAATGTGTCTCAGGACATTTAACAACTTTGGAAAGATGTTCTGCTTAGTCAGCTGTACACCAGGTTTACTCAAGCTAGCAGGACTAGTTGTTGAAATGCAGCCTTCTCTTTCATTATGTTTTCTGAATATAACTGCAAGTTGACAAGACTGATCCCATATGTTTTTTATATATACATATATGACTTTTGCTATTTACTAGCTATATGTCTGTAGGCAAGATTACTTCTCTGTGCTTCAAATTATTCATCTATAAAACAGAGAAAGCAACAGTGCTTATTTTATAAGGTTATTATAACAATTGGACAAGATAATGTGCAAAAGCATCCAGCGTAACACACAAGATGTTGACTATCATCATCTTCGTCCCATAGAGAACAGATTTTTTTATGCTACAAATACAGAAAGATAAGCCTCCAGCCACTAGAACTCCATGCCTTAGAAACAGCACAACTGGCTTTTCAATTGGTGCTCATGCAGCCACAATCTCTTTCACAACATAAGAGTCTTAAACCGCTTGGGCATGTGAGCTAGTAATTTGTAACTCAATATGAATAAGATAAAAAAAGTAAATTTGGTATTGGATGCAATCGTCTTTGATGCCAGGTTAAGACCACGCTGCCTGTTCGACATCCACCCTCACGCTGCGGTCTGTCTCAAGCACGAGAACTTCCCACCTGTCATCATTGCTGCGGAGGGAGGGAAGCCGGAAGCTCGTGTTTCTGTCCAGCTTGGACTGGCTTTTGGTCCTCTTGATGGAGCCTTTCAGGCGCTTGCTGAAGAACCCCTAGAACGAAGAGGGAGATGGCGATGAGAGAGAAGCACGCTGTCCTTGGAAAAGATGGCAGTTTTCCATCAGCTTGGATTTTTCTAACTCAGAGCAGAAATAAAACTTAGCCTTTAGTTTGTTATTTGGTAAATAACGATTATTTGGAAAAAACAAACAAACAACCTGGTAATGGTGATGTCAAGATTTTTTCTTCTGTGATAACTGAATTATTTGAAGGCATAATTTTGTAATTTCTTAAAAAAAACTTTTGTATATATTTTTAAAGATTTATTTATTTTTATTGCAAAGTCAGATATACAGAGAGGAGGAGAGACAGAGGAAGATCCTCCATCCAATGATTCACTCCCCAAGTGGCCGCAACGGCCGGTGCTACACCAATCCGAAGCCAGGAGCCAGGAACCTCCTCCGGGTCTCTCATGCAGGTTCAGGGTCCCAAGGCCTTGGGCTGTGTTTGACTGTTTTCCCAGGCCACAAGCAGGGAGCTGGATGGGAAGTAGAGCTGCCAGGAGTAGAACCGGCGCCCATATGGGATCCCAGCATATTCAAGGCGAGGACTTTAGCTGCTAGGCCATATTTAGTATATTTGAAAGATAGTTATAAAGGAAACTGAAAGAGAGAGAATGACTCTTCCATCAGCTGCTTCACTCCCCAAGTGGCTGTAGACGCTGAGGTCTGCTTAGCTTCAGGTCAGGTGCTCTATGCTGGCTTCCCATGTGGGTGGAGGGACCCAACGACTTGGGCCATTCTCCCCAGCTTTCTCAGGCCCATTAACAGGGAGGCAGATTGGAAGCGTAGCACTGAGACATAAGCCCATACCCACAGGGGATTCTGGTGTTACATGTGGTAGCTTTATCTGTGCTGCTACAGCATCAGCACCCATTTTTTTGTTTGTTTGCTTATTTCCAAAATAACCTGTAAACCAGCTATAGAAGAGAAACGTATAAATTTAATAACCTAACAATAGAATATAGATAAATATGTTCCCTTCTATGAAGATAGCTCAATAGGAATCAATGATTTTTATTCATTCAATGATTTTTGAAAAGGTGCTTAGTATACTGGCAGAACTAAAATATAACACCTGAAAAAAGAATTAGCTAAATAACAAAAGTAATATACTGGGAAGCTAAAGAGTGTGAAAATTCGATCTATGTAACTATGAATATATTATTTACAAAGTTAAGTTTTAAATATCGTCAAATTGTTATAAACGGAAGAGAGGTCATTTTTGAAATCACTAAAAGTTAAGACTCCAGGAGAGAGTGTTTCACAGTCTTAGATCCCTTCTTGTTTTCTGCCACTTGTTCCAATCCATCTGCAACGCTCTGAATGCCTTCACAGATGCAGCACTTCAAATAAGGAGTCTTCAGTAACACTTGTTCCACAAAAGAAATACAGTCAAAATAGTCACTACTTTAAAGAAATGTACAATACCAATATTGGCAGATGAAAGGGATAGCTTATAGAAGCATATTAAAATGCCACGAGAAAAAGTTGCAGTTCAAAGATTCTGACATGTGCAAATTGACTCCAATCATCCTGAGATGAATATTATCATAGAAAAGTATGTGCAATAAATAGTTCCGAAAGAACAATGAATACTGGGCACAGATATCACATCTTTTTACACATCTTCAGGTTCTGCTAAGCGCACTGTCTCGAGGAGCAGACTACAGCATGGGGACGCAGCAGCGTGTGCTCAGCCTGTCACTCTCCGGTCCCAGTGACACAACACATGTCCATGAGCAGGTCAGCTGAGAGGCTGGCTGGCTTCACTCAGTCTTACACGAAAGCAGGCTGCTTCTGTCCCCAGGCAGCTTTTGCAGCAGGATGAAAATGATCATGCACTTTTTATGGACTAGTTTTTAAAGCATCATGTTACATCTGGTCTCTTCATTAGACCCAAGAAATTACAGCATCACACCTAACTTCAGTCGGGGAGAGGGTGTCCAATCCCACCACGTACCTAGAAAGAGAACTGTCATCGCTTGGTGACCAACAGTAGGGACTACTGAAGCACTTTACCAACTCTAGCTCCAGTGTCTCAAATACACAGGTGCTATTCCTTTCCTTATAGAAACATACAAACCAGCTGATATGAATTAAAACTACTGTGATCACTGAAGAAAAACACTTGTTGTATCTTGTTCTTGCCACCCAAACAGGAAGTGTAAAACTCCTAGAAAATACCACAAAGACTTTCCCTAGATATTTCTTTACTATAGCTTCTGGTTGCATGGATAGCAGAGAAAAAAGGGCTATTTTTAAAATTATTGTGATTCTTAGAAACAGGTATTTTCCTGGTCATCCTATATAACCTTAGTGTTATCGGAGACACTCACTGTCATCATTACTCCAATGCAAACACTTTCCATGACTCAATCACAATGAGTCATCATACTGACTCATAATTATAGTCAATAAGCCAGACTTAAGACACAAAATTCTAATAGGATTGTTACGGTTGGTTACAAACCCATTGGCCTAAGTTGAGACCTAGCCCAGGGACCTGACCAAATATAAAATATGAGTACTTTTCTAACAAAATTACAATTATATGTTACACTGAGAATATATTAATAAATGCTCATTCATTTACTACTTTAACTCTATTTTTTTTGTGAAACTATCTTATATAAAACAAATGTTCTATAGAACAAACCAGAAGTTATAAGGGAATAAAAGACTGAAGAAACTCAAGGAGTTTGTAATTTATTATTTAGATAGTAAACACAAATGTGTGCATAAGCTTATGGGTAAATAAACACATATGCAGACTGAACACAAATGAGGACAGACTTCTGAATAGGAGGATGTGTCAACGAAAATCTTTACCACTTAAAGAGTACAAAGACTGAAAAACAAAACCGTAGCAGAATATCCAGACTGTGGGGCAATTACAAAAGGGTACAGCATAGCATGAATTATGAGAATACCACAAGAGAAAGAGAGCGCCCAAGGTTGGGGGCTCAGTGAATGACGCTGCCACCCGCAATGCTGCATCTGATATTTCAGTGCTAGCTGAGTGCTGCCTACTCCGCTTCTGATCCAGGTCCCTGCCAATGTGCCTGGGAAGGCAGCAGAAGATGGCCCAAGTGCTTGGGTCCCTGTACCCATGTAGGAGACCCGGATGTAACTGCTAGCTCCTGGCTCCAGCCTGGCCCAGAACTTGTGCCCTCTGAGGAGTGAACAAGCAGACAGAAGATCTACCTCTGCCTTTTCCTTTTGAAATTGCTCTGCATTTCAAATTAATAAATAAATATTTTCTTAAAAACAGAAAAGACAGACAAAGTGGAAGTAATTTAACTGATTGAGATAGATTAGGAAGACTCAAAGAACAGCAAGCAGCATAAATGCCAAACAAATCCACATGTAGGCACTTCATCTCAAACTGCAGGATATCAAAGATAAAGACAACATCTTGAGGAAGCAGGGTAGGGGTGAGGTTTTAGGTACAGTGGGATAATTACATCTGACTTCTTAGAAAGTATACAAGCAAGAGAAGAGTGGAGTGAATTATTTAAAGCAGAAAACCTACAAGCACAGAATTCTATAACTTGCAAAAATGATCCTTAAAGAGTAAATTAGGAATAGAGCCTTTCTTTGTCAAACAAAAACTGAGAGAATTTGCTGGCAGTAGATCTTTGCAAAGAATTTTAAAGAATTTTAGAGGAACTTCCTGAGTGACATGCAAAATGCAGAGTGAATATCCCTTATCCGAAATGCAACTGAGTATCCCTAATTCAATGGCTCCAAAATTAAATCTAAAATGCTCTAGAATCTGAAATGTTTCAAATATATACCATTTTGGCACTCAGAAAGTTTTGGATTTCAGAGCATTTGAATTTCCAGATTAGTTATACTTGACCTTTTTTTTTCTTATTTATTATTTTTATTGGAAAGCAGATTTACAGAGATTTAGATTTTGCATCCACTGGCTCACTCCTCAAATGGCCATAACATCTGGAGCCGAAGCAACTGAACACCAGAAGCCAGGAGATTCTTCTGGGTCTCCCACATGGGTGCAGGATCCCAAGGCTTCAGGCCATCTTCAACTGCTTTGTCAGCTGTAAGAAGGGAGCTGGATGGAAAGTGGTGCAGCTAGAACACAAACTGGTGCCTACATGGGATCTTGATCAATGCAAGGTGAGGATTTAGGCACTAGGCTATTATGCTGACCTTTATTTTTCTTATTTTTTTAAAAAAATATATTTACTTTTTACTAGCAAGTCAGATATATAGAGAGGAGGAGAGACACAAAGGAAGATCTGTCCAATGATTCACTCCACAAGTGGCCGCAACAGCCAGAGCTCAGCTGATCTGAAGCCAGGAGCTTCTTCCCTGATCTCCAACATGGGTGTAGCATTCCAAGGCTTCGGGCCACCCTTGACTACTTTCCCAGGCCACAAGCAGGGAGCTGGATTTGGGAAGTGGGGATGTCGGGATATGAACCAGTGTTCATATGGGATCCCAATGCGTGCAAGGTGACTACTTTAGCTGCCAGGCTGCCACACTGAGTCTAGTTTTCTTATTCTTAATTTTGTTGGCAGCTAATTGTTCAAAATAGAAACAAAAACAGTGCATTTGACTGCGTACGTTATATATATATTTTCTTATACAAAAAAGAAATGGAAGGGAATTATCACACCAGTACTAATTATCAAAACAAAACATGAATTTTAGAGAGCAGACATCAGAGCAAGGAAGTTATCAAGGTTCAAGTACAGTATATATAATCATTACAGGCTCAACTCTCCAAACATAGCAATCCTTGCTGTACATGTGGGAAGTCACCCCTGATCTCTGCCCGCCTCACCCATGTAGGTACACAGCCCACTGTGTCCCCAAAGGGAACCTCTGACAGGAGTCTTGGCTAATGGAGACCCCAACACGGCCTGTTCAGTGGGTGTGCAGCAAGAGTGACAGGCTGCACCCCAGTCTCCTTCTCCACCTTTTTAACAACCTGTGCTAGGACTTCACAGTAACAACTCTAGCAT